CTAGAAACACTATTGGCTTTTTATTGATGTCTGACTGCTTTATAGTATTGTTTGAAGTCCAAAGCTCCGCGGAGAAGTAAACCTCATGTCTGCAACTCACTCTCCTTGCGTCTTCCAGCTCAATTGATGATATAGGCCTGTCTCGACTCATGACACTCTATGACCTGTCCGCATTGCTTCAATGGCCGGCTCATCAAGTTTGGGTATCCGAGCAGGGTAGCTGTGAACGGCGGAAATAGGCTCTTCTATCATTGAAAAGATTAATTAAAATATAGAGTGGGTGGCAGTTCTCAGGATTTGAGGGGTGCAGACCCTGGAATGACTCCAGGTCTCAGTGCTTTGGTCCCCTTCGACCCATGTCCCGCAGAGTGAGAGCTTTCTGCCCCTGGTGAATTGGAGCAGCTAACGAAGTCAAATTTAACGTTGATACACGCGAAAAAGTATGATGTGTTCACCTGCTAGAACTCTTCCGACTTCGAAAAATCGTCAGCGGGGGGACATGGACGAGCAATACAGCGTACCCACCTTCCATTATGGGACTCATCTTGAGAACCGGAGTCGGAGTCAGGCTTGACAAAATCACTGCAGGCTCAAGTGTAAGAAAGATATATTGGGAAGAACCATGAAAGCACGTACGAAAACTCTTTGAAGGAATGCACAACGACTTGCTTGAAGAGCGTGAGAGACGACATAATGCCTAGAAAATGGAAAAGGACTGAAGCGATGGTTGGGGTTCTATACCGAGCTTATATAGTTGCGTCTCACGGAACTAGGGTCGGAGTTCCCGGCATGGTAAGAAGAACTTGAAACCAAATTAGACCCATTCCAGCTGTACCGGGTGCGGATCCATATGGACCGCATGATGTACAGGCACGGTGTGCATCTCTAATTAGGACCGAGTCTCTGAACGCTCTTCCAGCTTGCATGAGCCACTGTCTCATCTTGGCAATAGCCTCCTCGATACTGAGGTGAGTTCATGATACAGTTGTGGCTCAGCATCTTCATTTTGACACCCGTACCGTGGGCAGTTTGGAATTTGATTCGTACGGGTGGGCCAATTTTCCCGGATAACTAGGTCTACCTCCTCTCATGAGTGTACAGGATACAAGACCCGTACTGTACCGTCAATGCCCTTCTCTCATACAGTATACAGTCGTAACTTATACGATCGTAACCGTATACGGCATTGGACGTCCCTAGTTCCGATCGCCAGGACGATGAGCCGCTATACAGTATCCACCGAGTTATCATAAAAGCAGAGAATGGTTAGAAATAAATTAAGTAGACAATATTGATTGTTGCTTACGACTTGAACTTTTGTTGTTAGTAACCGTAGAAACTGAATTTTTCATCGTGTAGAATTCCACCCCAGGTAAAAGAAGATATCCACATTTCACAATGAATGGCCAATAAAGCAAGCCCTTAGTCGACAGAAATCAAAGCAGAGGGAAGGTCGTGACGCAGAGCAACAAAGATCCGCTTTCGGACTGCCAGCCGTGCGGACTAATAGCCGGGCCGTCACGCGTCACTTCTCACGTTACTCTACCTTAAACCATTTCTTGATTGACGTCTGGCAAATTGCTTGTAAACGTCCAGATTCGTATTGTTTCCAATGGGACTTCACCGGGAAAAGCTCATATAACTTAGCGTGCCTCGATTTGCCGTTCAAGAGTATGCTCAATGATTGTCCTTATACTCAGGTGACGCGTCATGCTCCTCTGCCTGATCTTGAACGGGCGCTCTGGTAAGTGGGCTACTCCGATTTAGTAGCGCAATCTCGTTTCCTGGGTGAAACGTACTGTCTAGTAGCACCTACGATCATGATGACCCTTGTACGACGTCTGTTCCAGAGATGCCGGTGTTGTAAGTGCTGTATCTATTCCCTTCTTTTAAATCTGTCGCTGATCAGCAATTGATCGGATCTATGTGCCTACACTCTGCAGGCCCAGCTCATGATTAACTGAAACAGCATTCCTTGTGTCAATATCGTGGTGATGAAAACACTGTTGCGCTCCGGTCAAGACAGAGGCGACTCTGATCATACCTATCAGATAATATGACTTCAAGGTCGGGTGCACTCGGCCCCAGCTTAACCCTGGTGGAGTTATCTAAGCTCACTCCTGCAATGAGGATCCAGGTTGTCAATGCAGCCGCCACAACATTGTAAGTAGCCGCTGTTTGTACGCTATATGTTTTGGCTTCTAGAAAATGAGGGGAGTCCTTGGCAACATTACTTCAATGGTATGGCTTGGCCTTTTCCTCGATGTATGGCCTCAAATAAACGAGAGTCACGAGACCACCGCAACCAACGAATACGGCTACAGGGTACCCTAGTGAGCTGCTTTAAGTGCCCAGAATCGGTCACGAAACTCATGATAGGTGCCTGTTCCGTTTATTCAGACTATATCACTATCTGAATGCACTGCATAAATTCATACTCCGGGACAGAGCACATGCCCACTGGAACGAGTACAAATCCAAGGGTACTTAAATCCCACATTCGGTGCGTAGAACGAGGATTAATGCGTGAAATGGAACCCGGATTTAGTTTTGACATTTATGCCTTCATGGGTGCAGATCCAGGGATGACACCAGGCCTCCGGGAATAGCTTCGACTGCCGCGAGGCTTGGAGTTTCCATAGCTCTGGCTATCGTGTCCCCGAGACACGAAGCTGACAAAAAAGTTAGTATCAATATCAAGACGAGATAAGTTGAATGTTTCAATCACCCAGTGTTCGTCCTGGTGCTGGAACTTCTGCTCAGATGAGTATTGAATGCACGCGAAGGAAGGTTCGAAACTTACTGCTGAGTGCCGGTATCTTCACAGGTAGAACCCGTGACAAAGTCCCTACCAACTCGGCCTTAGATATCTTGGACTCAAAGATAGGAGATCGAGAAAAGAACACACCTAAATTCCTTGAAGGAGTGGACAACGACTTCCTTGAACAGAGCGAGGAACCTCATTGCGAGAGCACCACGTCCAAAACCAGTGGCACGTTCTGAGTGTACCTGGGATAAAATGAAGAAGATTCGCGGTTTGCTTTTCCTTGATTTATATTTTGAAGATGCGATGCATACAAGGCGACTGGATAGTCATATTGGGCAAATATTCAGGGTGACACACATCATCCAGAATGCATCACGGCCGTAGCGCGCGCCTCCGAATCGCGGTACGAAATTGCATGCCCCAAACCCTACAAGACGACGGGGCGCTGAATATGGCCTAGGGGAGTCACAATGTTTATGCCCTAGAGTTGTCCCCTTTCAAGACTCCTTTGAATATGTCGAAGCCAAATAAAGCCCGGGAGAAATTTTTAAAAAATTCCGGAGTTGGGCGATTCATTCATTACCGAATCGACTGAGGCAAGGTGGCAACAGTTTGAACTCAGCTACGTCATTAATTGAAAATATCACGGCGCTAGTCGTACTATAGAAACCTGAAACGATGAGAAGAAAGCGGGAGAAAAAAGGGCACGAGACGGTGAAATTTAGTTGACCGTTGAACTACGGAAGGTCAGTGACGCATCCTTCTTTCGTTCTTTCGAAAATTGTGGATACAACGAAACCAGATTCATGTACGTCATGATTCTCTCTTGTGGAATGGCTCTTGAATGCTCCAGTCTTGACATGCCATGCACTGCCAGACTCTCGGGCATTGCCTTGAAAATTGCAGTCAAGTCATTTCAACTCGGTAAGCGCGCAATGATATTTTTTACGATATGCATTGAAATATACAGCGTTCAAGCTCATATTCAACTCCTATAAAATACTGGGACAGCGCTGTTGGCTCAAGTTACAGCATGTTGCACAGCAATTAGGTCCTGATCGCCGTGTCGCCTTTGGCTACTGAGGGGATACCTATGATCTATGAGCTCGCATCTATAATGATTTCGGACAGATCACTTGTAGATGAATCGCGTTTCTGGCGGGTCTCAACTTTCAAGTTGTCAATTGCCGGTCAAGACTCGGTCAAGTTTGATCAAGCTAAGCATAAAGGGAACATTGTGATCGGCTGTGCACTCGCCAACTACCCGCTGCCTACTTATGTACTAAGATTGCTGCCGGCGTACTACTCAGATTTGATTTTGCTAGGCTTGTTGACTATAACAGCTGCTTCAGCCTCGAGATATCATCCCTGTGTCTCCATCCTGCCCGACGGAACATCTTCTCGTGCCAAGACAGCACGACTGTCACCGTAGCGCGGAATGATTGTCTCAGTAGCGCAATTCTAGGCCCATATATAAATTATGTACCTTGCTGTACCATGCGAAGCATGCAAAAGGAGATTACCCGATGACAGGAATTTTCAGGGCTGAGGGACATACGAAATCATAAGTCTTCTGGTGCCAAACTGGTATATGTAGGACGGAGTTCGTCCATTGGTCTGTGAGATATAATTAGCACAGTTACGAGGCAAGGCAACATCCGTACCGGTGGGATCGATAACACTGGCCCAATTTCCCGTGTCTTCGGCAAAAATCACAGCAAAGCCACTGGAACGCAAATTACTTGACACAAGAACCTTAATTAAAATTAAATGACTCACGCTTCTAGATGCCAATCTATATTACTGCGAGAAAGATGTCAGTCTTCGCAGAGTTAATGAAATGACTTGAACGATACCAGTATACACTGCTGGGGTGTGCCGGTCTTTTGACCCGAAAACCAGCATGCAAAAACCGGTACTGTTTTGGACATGTCTTTGGCCCAGAAGATTTGGTGCGAAAAGACCATGACAAATATAGCGCACTTTGTACTTAATTTTTTGTATCTGTATTTCAACCGAAAAAGAGCAAATGGAAAACATGCGGTCTTTGGACAGATCTTCGATCCAGTGGTCTTTGGAAACCAAAAACCTCCGATCTGATTACTGGTTTTTGGTTCGGTCTTTTGATCGGTTTTTGTATTGGTCTTTGGATCACTTCCTTTGTTCTTTCCTTTGTTCCTCTGGTCTTTTTGCCCAAAAGACCGGTTCCAAAGACCAAACCAAAGACCAGTAATCAGATCGGAGGTTTTTGGTTTCCAAAGACCACTGGATCGAAGATCTGTCCAAAGACCGCATGTTTTCCATTTGCTCTTTTTCGGTTGAAATACAGATACAAAAAATTAAGTACAAAGTGCGCTATATTTGTCATGGTCTTTTCACACCAAATCTTCTGGGCCAAAGACACGTCCAAAATAGTACCGGTTTTTGCATGCTGGTTTTCGGGTCAAAAGACCGGCACACCCCAGCAGTGATAGGAACCGTGGTCCTGGGTTATCTGTGGTGAACCTGGTGGTTACATTATCGCCTTTGTTCTCGGTGTTAACGATATCATGCCGAACGGGCTTCTCATAGCTCATATTTGTACGTTGAACTACCAACAGTCCGGTCCACATCAAATACGTACTAGTAATAAGTCAGAAGCGACCTCATAATGTGCACAGTGCAGCTTATGAGGGGCTCACTCTGTACAGATGGAAAGGATCCTGGAATAGATGAGCACGGGAGCATAACATTCAAGAACGACAGTACTCGCCCTTCCACCGGCGAAACCTCCAGACATCGAAATCTCGATCGTCGCATTGGATGGAAGAGAGGACATGGCACCAGCAGGTAGAAGATCGTTCGCATTCTGAACCCCACTTAAGATCTGGAGAAGCACCGACATAGTCGGCGGAGTAAAATTGGCGCCATTGACGTTGAACCTTCCACCTGACGTCTATAAATAATGTTAAGTTAAGAAGCGAGCGACGTAGCACAACATACAAATGAGAAAGCTAAGTTCAAAGCCTAGTCTATGCCTCCTAGTTCCGCCCGTCCAGGCTATCGAAAGGCTGATACCCCTTCTCCACGCAAGGAGGACCTACGGCTCCAGGATTCTCGAGTGGCTGTGTAGCGAACGCGTGGACATGTCGGATGGAATTAGAACCGGAACACACATACCACGAGGTCTGTCTCGTTCATCGGCAAAACGTTCACTGTCATTTCTGTTTCATGCTCCGTCTCGCTAGCGCCGGAATATCGAAAGATAGCAGAATTGATGCCACCGGTAAAGCCTGTTGAACCCGCGCTGGGTGACGTTCCGATCCCTAAGAGACAAGAAATGAGTGTGTTAAGGCGCGGGAAACAAATTAGGCTCACAATAGTGGTTGACCGGTTAGTCTGCTGTGAGCTGGCTGGAAGTGAGACCACGGTATCTGACGTCAGGCAAAAACTCTTACGACGAATGAATAATGCTGTCCTAGGGAGGAATATTGACTTAGAGAATTTTCGAAAAGAACCCGGGAACTAGGATTTACCTGCAAATACCTCAATTTGATGGACCGTATTGGGTACATGGTTCACACCATCTACTTCGATGATTGTCCTACAAGACTTGTTAAGAAGTTCTCGTAGACGCTATAAATGTATACATGCATGTTACGTCCTTGTATTGATACCTTGAAGGAGACGTCACAGGCCATACGGACCATGCGAAAATTGTATCTATTTCTTCTCGGTCAGCATGGTATGGCGATGAGAAAGAGAGATAACAGACCAAGTTCCCGCAACAACAGAAATGACGGACAGATCGGACGAAGGGGTGGAATTACATCTATCCCTTTCGGTAGTAAACGGAACAGGAAGGAAAGTGAATTGGAGGGTAGATTAACCTTCCTAGTCCATTGATTAACGTTGCAGATGGCGTACTAAATATTGAATGAGATATGATGAGAATAGTAACACATGTGACGAACGGGAATTTCGATTGCTTGGCGGGAGAATGATACCAGTAGGAGAGAAAAAGAACTGTTGACTCTAACGACGATGGTTAGCATTGCTGTACAATACGAAAAGAGTATCTTACCGTCGTCAACATCGTGAAGATCGGCGTGAGGGTCATTAGGGTCATATATGATGAAGGGCCCTCATAGGTCGTCGCAGTACTGGGTAGCTAGGTAAATCATGATCAACATTCGTCAATTGATTTCGTTTTCAGAAGAGGGCTTACACAAGTGGGAGCGATACCAAAACGTTCCCGCTTGTCCAGCGGAGTCGAACACACAAGAAAGAATCCCCTTTAGCGACAAGACATTCCGGAAGTGCAATAGAACGTCGCCACATGCCAGAGTGTGTTGACGTCTTCCTTGTTTCAGAGTTATGGTTTCAGAAAAGATCTAGAATTAGGCATTAAGCACTTCTTTTACTTGGAAAAGGGAGCATAATCAGACCAGGTCGCCTGTGATACCGTGTTTAAGATCTCGTTATCTGCCGTCCAATGACTCCATCTTGAGATTTTGTAAGCGGAGGGCCGTGACCACTGGCTCAGGATCCTCTTCGCTCGAAGATAATCCAGCGGCATCTTCAAACGGAGAACAACAAAGCGCATTGCTGCCTATTTTTTAGAATGCTTCATACATAAGATAAGTTCGAAACCAACATTAATATTATACAAAACCGATTGCCACAGCGTCCTTGGACCTTGACACGTCGTACCTTTTTCTGCACGCGAGTTGGAGATGCTCAGATGCGATGTTTTCGCCACATCATGGCGGGGGTCGGGGTCTGTAATATGTCGCATATGGGAAATTATACAAGGATCAGAGAAAAGAGGTACGCGTAGCCAAACGTTCAGTGCAGCGATTCGCTGATTTATTGCTGGAGGAAGTTAACAACATTGCTCTTCGGCCCGATGAGCCGGCGCGCAAACATTGTTTATGATTGTTGATCTCCTACCTTTTCTCCACTGTCACTACGCTGCCATTCAGCTTAACTTGGAGTCTACGTAATTCTAGGACGCAGCTTGTCGTCGTTTTGTTTTGTTTTACAAGAATGGACCCTTGATGACAGGGCAAGTTATGACTTACAAATTGCTGCTTATTTTCTTGGCCTGGTTTGGGTCTGGTTCAAGCCGATGGCTTGACTACCTAATTTCTTTACATTCTTCCTGAGGTTACTATCGAGACTAGGATTTGCGGACCTACTGGCCCCGGGACGGAGCGGCATCACTTACGCTATGTTAACCTTCACCCAACTTGAGCGTTGTCGAGACCTGCTGGCAAAAGACGTGCCCACAGCTCCTTTCTTGCCAACTTCGGAGAAGCGCTGGCGTTTTGATGATCTGGGTAGATGAAACGGTAGATGCATTATTTCTCATGCAGATAATCGTGTTCCGCATCGCTTGACTGCCCTTGGAGCTGTTCGATTTCTCCGATCTTAGGCGCTAGACTAGGTACCATCGATGAGCTATGTCCAACAACTCAAATTATGGACTCGACGGTCTTCGTTTTACTTCTGATGGTAGGGAAGTCAATGGTGAAGATGCGCCATGCGCTGGGGAATTGACGTGAAGTGCATCCATGGTCCCAAGCTTACTTCTTGAGTCCCGAGGGAAACACACATGATCTCGCCCGTCTTCAGGCTGGACAACTCCCAAGACGTTCAATATGACGACGTAAATCAATCTGTTCGTAGGTATAATTCTCCCACTAGTCGCCGTTTCTCCGACTGCTAACGGATGATATCAGTAGGACAATACTTGTAACACCAGTTTGAGTGAGCGGTTACACGGAAGGTATCGCCCCACTTGCCGACATTATGGTTCCATCAGGAAGTATGTGTATGAGATGTGACTGGGATTGGCGCGCGCCACGAGGTTAGGCTGTTCTCGTGAAGATGCTATCTGAGATTTCATCTATCAATCCGCCTCGTGTTGGCATCTAAATCCTGCTGTATTTTGGCTGTATAATATCGGCTTTTGATCATCGGAACACGATGCCTACTTCTACTTTCGTTCATAAAAAAGATGTACTGTGGCGGCTAGTCCTTTCAACAGCAGCATGGCGCCTATCCCGGTAATTCAAGTACAGTGGGACAAGATTTTCCGTTCTGATCGTTGAGACTACGGGAGTGTTTGAACATTATTTATATATTATTTAGGCTTCGATGAAACTCCCGTTGAAAAACACACGAACATGAGCTCGCTCCCCCGTCCAGCGTCTAATTTCCTCGGCCACGGTTTCACATGCAGCGTCCGTGCAAAGATCAACACCCATCCAGATTGGGTTCACCCTCATTGACAGAATCTGGTCAAGAGATTCCCATAAGGATTGCGACGTGCCTTTCATGCTATCAAAGTCGTCGCCTCGAATCATGATTTTCACGGCTTTTAGATAAGGCAAGAAAGGCATCCATCCATCAAGGAATTCGACCACATATTTCAACTGTTCACAGACAGGAATTTCGCCTCTGGAGGTCCACACGTCGACAATAAGATTCATTAGGCACACGCCGTCAACGCCGGTCTTGTCTGCACCAAGCAGTATTTTCACTACATAGATTGTTTCGTCAACGGTAGGATGACGTTGTTGCAAATGGTACTCACGTTCTTTGGTACCCGCTGTGAAAGTTCTCATACGATTACTATTGACGAAGTATTCGCATACCACATCCTGGAAGTTAACTTGTAGGTCGTCTCCAAGGGACTCAAGATGCAGGCTGTCAACTCCAAATGGTGCGACATTCGACAGGTTCGTATCAGCGAGGGTTTCCAGTATCATCCGCATATCGTTTTCCTCCAGGCAAATTGCATCGAGAACGCGGAGCTTGGATTTGTTAGGATATATCTCCATGGTGGGTGCGTCCTGTTCCCGATCTTGACTGACTGTGACCATTTGTAATTTAAGTTCCTCCAGATTCACGCAGCGGTTGAACAGAGCCTGGAACACTTCTTGTCCGACGACGCAATCCTCAAGGCTGAGGTTGCAAATGTTCTCGATCCAGATAAAATGGTCGTCGAGGACTCTAGAATGGAAGATGACGCTATCGTGAATCGCGGTGTCAGAGAATCGTCCAAGGATGTGCCTCCATTGGTACAGGTTTAAACAACTAATGTCGCTTATCTGAAGTGATCGAGATTCGCAAGGATAGCCGCCGTAAAGTTTGAAATCCTTAGCAGTCAGAGTAGAAGGGTAGTCACTGCCGGGTCCGGTAATAGAATCAGAGAGAGATATGTCGATGATCTGGACCTCTGAGCAAGGAACGGGTTCGGGGGGGAAAACCATATGCTCCAGATCCGACGATTCTATGTGCTCCAAATTCGATAATATCAACACATGATGCGTTCTTTGGATGTAATCCGACGTTGGATTGAGTGAAGGATGGCATTTTTTTGAAAAGAGGAAGTAGACAGCGGCAGCATCAGCCGTCGATTCAATAGCGATGTTTGGACGGGTGGAAAAAATTCGTTCCAGGTCCTTGAAGAGCCAGCGTACTTGGCCTCCGTCAACTTCCGTTGGTGCCTGCCACTCACATCGTGAAACGAGCAACTGGTACGCAAAATCCCGAGGGTCTTGTTGATGTAACACATCATCGTGAGAGACGAATGGAGCCCAAGTCGCAGGTATATGGTTCGCAAGGTAACGGTCGACAAGTCGCAGTGGTAAGTAGCGTTGGTCCATGAGTGTACGAAGTTGATAGAGCCTGAGAGGAGGAATGGAACGGGGTTGGCCGTTGGTCTTTAATAGTGTTTGCAGCTTGGAATTTGGAACAATAAAGGCTGCGATTACTATGCGTACGAAAACAAAGATTGTTAGTGATCTCATAAAATCTACCAATACACGAACAAAGTACCTACCCATATTCGGTACAAAACAAGACAAACGGTCGCATGGAAACAATTGTTGATTGCCACTCGACTTCGGCCCACGAGGCGGAAATTTGGAATAGGACAAAGTCCCGTATTCGGCTTGTAAAAGGTTCCCGTTGTTTGATGGGAGCTTTCAAAGCTCTTTGCTGTACCTTGCAGCTCAGACAGTCGACGTCGTGATTGCAGCTCAAAGGGGATCAGCCATTCTCGGCATTTTCCGCAAATCCAAAAAGTTCTTGACTACAAAATTCTTTGCGGAAGTAATGCAATATAAGACTTGTACTTAATACTTATTACCAGAAATTTTACCATTAAATTTTGTCATTGGCATAAGCTTCCAGGAATTCAGGGAAAATTAAAATGACGGCTCCTGGCTATCATTATGAACAAGGCTGAATTGAGGTCAAATGTCTTCAGTCGATCGCCTTCCTATCTTTGTCGGAGTCAAGTGTGTTGCCGATAAGAATGCATGATTTCTCATGGTGATGAAACATATATTTTAGCGCAGATATATAAAAGAATACGGTGGAATGGTGCTATTGTCAGATCTAGTAGCGCGGAACGAGGGACCAGCACGCAGCTTGTGCTCGTCGTGAAGAAAATAAAAGACAAAATTAGATGATTATAAAGTAACAAGTATTGAATGTTAAAAGAATGCGCATTATCCCCGGAGAAAGGCTGTAAGATAGAAATGTGGACCACATCCTCGCCATACTCGGGCCTTCAAGCTTCCATTATCTGGTTCCGGGTTTCTGCGAGCCTCCAGGCTTGCTAGAACCTTGACTGTTGGTGTTTTGGCTTCCACGGGGAATATATCTGTAATGCAGTTACTTAGTGAGATATTCCAACCATTCAATAGCTCGCACACCCTAAGGAGCCTTGGCACGGCTTCGAATTGCTACTAAGAATATTCAATTAGACGGTCAATAATCGAAGTGAGATGCCTGAAAGTGCGAACCTCGATACATGCCCCTTGTGAAGGTTCCTGTAAAAGAAGTGAGAATTGGTTCGCATTGAGGATCCAAGGCATTGAAGAACGTACCGAACACCTTGGATGGAGGCAGAAACAAGTTGTTTGAAGGCGCTGAATTGCATGCTGTAGGTGGAGTTATGACAAGTTTTGTAGACTCAGAACGGATGAGCAGTGGGTAAGTAGTGAAGAGCTACTCATCTACTTTGCCATCTTTTATACGGTGTACTGTGCTTGATGTACAGTCCATTTATGGCATCCAATTAAAAGACGTGATGAAAGTCGTCGGCCACCCGACACTGATGGTTTCATCGTCGGAGTTGGACGCGTCAGGATTACGATTATCATAGAAATCACGCACTAGAAACACATTCGGATTGGTAACACGTGGTGCGCATCGCCCCTTGGACCTGACGGTATCACTAGCCGCAATGATAGCGCGTACCACGCGAACATACGGCTGGCGATCATTGGATGATGCCGATCTTTCATTTGATCTATCAATAGAGACGCTCAGTAGCGAATACCAATGGCTATACGATAGAAAATGTAAGCTGCGTCCGGAAATTTTTGCTTTTGTTTTTCATACATTGTTTGATGGACAGGGACGGGTTTCGAAGCATAAAAACGACATTCGACCATTACTCTGGGAATGGAGATCGCTGCTTCAACTACACGAGATGAATGGAGACGGCTGGACCGTTAAAATCAAGTACCTAGCCAAAATCAAATCAGTTGCGCTTTGGGTTAGCTTTCAGTAAAACAATGCTTGAATATCGATAATTAGCTCCCGCGTTCCATAATAAAAAAAATTACTCACAATATCAAGCAGTATTGGCATGAAACTTCGAGGTACTTCAAAAGATCAAGGCATCAAGTGTAAGTCGAAGGTCAAAACGCGTGAATCGATCGCTGCCGCTGCCCACGGATTTCCCCGAAACGGCCTAACTTGCTACCGCCATCAGTTTCGCAGGCAAGAGACGCATTTGTCGGTCAGTGGATTTATTCTTGAACTTGGGATGGAAGCTATGATTGTTAGGCTAAACATGGTGGCTCGCTGCTAAATCTTCTTTCCCCTTGAATCAAAATTTATAAAATTTATGGGTAGATGCCAAATTTTTGGCTTTCCTTTCCATTGCAGCATAGTTAAGACCCATCGATATCAATTAATATTGTCGGTATTCAAAGAGAACTGTGCAATACATACTCGTTTCAGCTCATTCAGGACTAAATATTTTTGTATTCTAGATGGCATTCTCCTCCGTGCTATGGCAGATTTTTTTGATCAACCTCGAGAGGTCTGCTTTAAAACACATGGTTCGATTGATGCTCTGTACACTCAGGGATCTTACTATCATGACGGCGGCTCGATGATAAATGGCATTACAAGGACACTATCCATTCCTCGGTTACAATCAAGCGGTACAGAGATGCGAACTCGTTTAAATGTGTTCATATTATTGTATGGTGTTCACGAGTAAATTGATATGTAGTCATGCTACCGTAATTTATGGCTATCGATTCCCTCTTGCACAGATTTACAGAAATCATATCTGTAACTGATAATATCCTGATCTTTTGCCGTGACCTTGTTTCTCCTGAGACTAATCATTGTTCCCAGGGTCATCGGGTCAGAGCCTTCTCGACTTTTCACGCCATTAAATTGATCGTCGCATAAGATAAAGGTTGAATAATCTGTATTTATATGATTATATAGTAAGGGAATCTATTAATGAATACCAGATTGTAATAGAACGTGTAATTAGCTCCCGCGGGCGACTATAATATAGATGAATCGCTTGTATGGACAGACTCTTACTTTCCGGAGCCATTTCCTTGGCTTCCAGAATTTCCGCTGGAACCCTGGCTTTGTTGGGTTTGTTTTCCGCGGGGAAGATACCTGTGAAGTCCTAAGTAAGACGATGCATGGCATATTAGACACTGTAAGGTTCGCATACTCCAGATCATTCTGGTTTGAATTCGGCAGACTAATATTCAACCGATGAGGAAGAGGATAAACGGCAGAGCTTCGAGGTGCGAACCTAGTTGACCATCCTTTAAGGGTGCTATTAGAAAAGTCATGAACATCGCTACGTGGATGATGTTTCAAGAGACAACATACCGAATGGTGTGGTAGGATGCAGAGATTACGTGCTTGGCAGATTTGAAAGGCATTGTGGGGGAGGCTGAGACTTAGACTAGTTTGGGTTTGAAGGGTGTTTCTGTAGAAATAATGAACCCACGAGTCGTCTTATATACCATAGCGCATAGTGACCTGATGACCCTGTCAGGGAATTTATTCCAAGAGCAATGCGATACATTATCGAACTTCGAGTCGTGAGTAGAAACGTTGAAAATCACAATCAGTGACACTGAAACGTTCGATTTGATGGGAATGAGGCAAAGATCTGCGATACCAATCGTTCACTCTATCCATCAACGGGAAAATCTTTTGTAGCAGGTATAGAGCTGTGAACGAATCAGATAGATCACCTGCGAGAGAATCGAACAAGTTCCTGACAAATAAAATGAGTCTCTAGGAAGCAGACGGACATCGCAATACTATAATATTAAGGAACAGCACGCGATTTGATCTCGACTCTTTACAGGTCCCTTTGAAGGCGGGTCAGCGCTTCCGCAATCAAAGTGAACTCGGGAGAATGATTAATCTTGAAGGCCAGTAGAGAATTAGAAGGTAGGGCGCTGTAGAGAGATAACACCACAGAAGTAAGATGCTCAAACGACAGCAGCAGAAATTTCAAAAAAAAAAAAAAATCTAGAGGCAGAGCTGCAGTTCGTCCTAAGATTCAAGTTGACGGTAGTGGAAGAAACCACGGACCGAACACTGACAGTAAGTGCCGTCATGCCGCTGTTCGGCAAAAGCCGAACCAGAAGTCACTCTCAACCATGATTGCCGCAGGACGAAAGGCACTGTCAGTTCGATTTCTTCCGTGCTCTCCAACCTTACTCTTACCTGTAGGGATTACTTGAAACCTATTGATCATTGTGATCTCGGGTTTTCCTAGGCGCATCAAGGACTGGAACCGCTCCATTGTTAATAATCATCTCAAGGATAAACGCCGGGCCACTTACATGCTCAGACCGGTACTAAAAGATATATACCTTCGACGCTAGTTCTTATCCATAATCCAATACTATTTTCCAAATCGTCTGGCCATCTCCCATACCGATCCTGACGCGAGTGGAAAACATGACGAGCATCTTCCGGCAAGGAGAGACGACACGTGATCGCATTTTTTTGGTATCTCACTCATCATTACACGGTATCGCCGTCAACCTCAAGTTTCAACAAGTTGCCGCCGCCCCTTCAGACCATCATTATCATTGGCCGTGTTTCTCTAGCGCCCAATAGTCACTAATTCATATCGTCCATCCAAGTTGCCTGGAGACTCGTCACTGACAAATTTACTCGAAACGTATGGATAACCTCTGCTGGCGTTGCCTTGTTATTAACTGCACTTTCAACTCTACTTGACAGTACCTGTCTCTAAAAGTTTAAATCATTCCCTCAACCACAGTTGCCAGGCCCACGGTCTTGATATACTTTCTGAAATCAGGTAGCACCTTTTTTTCGCGTACACACCCTACTAGTTTAGCCCAACGACATCAGCCTCAACCGTTGACTTGTCGGATTCCACCACATCAGCGACCGATTGGAAATATTTTGGGGAATTTATCTGCAGACCAGATCTACCAACTCGACGCGACCCGAGGGAGAATGCTGTCGATATCAACACTCTAACGTACTTTTCAAGAGAAAAAGGCTCATGCAGGTCATCAACGCTTTTCTTATCTCTAGATAAAAATTAGGAGTCTATGACGATCTTGTGTACAATGTTAAGTCCCTCTTAGCTCAGTTGGTAGAGCGCGTCACTAGTATACTCCTCTGCAATCATATAATGACGAGGTCAGTCGTTCAAGTCGGCTAGAGGGAATTTTGGGAGGGGATTATAACAACATTGTTTTTGCACGTTTGTGAAATGATTTATAAATTATAAGTAGGGCTACGCACGAAACCTCCAAGGGGGTAAAGTACGGTTTTTGTCTCGACCCCTCCCCAGGCCCCAGGGGGTGTTTTGATATGGTATTTTACCGTTACTTACCTATCACGTGCCAATATCACATGAGTGACGCGTCGCAATTGCAGATTTTTTCCAAATCTCCCGTCTTCGCATTTTTATACATTTTTTTGACATAATGAAATGTAATTCATTCATAAAGATAACTCATCTGTGAATTTACCTCAGAACTCGAAATATACATCTAGTAGTATGGAATTATGGTGCTCAAACACCTGTCACATGAAAGACACGAGAAATCTATACCATTAAAGGTCTGAAAATCCCCTTGTGTACCTACAGTAGCTACTGGGGCTGGCTATGAGCAAGCGCCGCCGCGTCTCTGTACATAGATTACGGGTTGCGGTTTCGAAATATAGATTTAAAAAAAAAAAAAAACACCTGTCACATGACAGGAAGTTACCTCGACGAAAAACCCTCCAGGGAGGGGAGGTAAAATACCAGTAATTAACCGATAACTTACCGGTCCGAAACCCCGGTGTATCAAAACATGGGGTTTCGTGCGCAACCCTAATTATAAGTCATAAGACTCATAGCTCGACCGTCGACCGTCGTCCGTTGTGTTGTAGTATCGGGAAACGGCTTTTCAATCTTTATGGACTCCTCGCAACCAGTCATTCAGCACTGAAACCTGCTAGTATCCTGGAACGCCCTACAGACCAGAGCTTCAAGCTTCACAGGCCTCAGGAGCCTGACTTCAACAAATGCGTTGTCTTGGAAACACGCCTCCCTGCGACTGCCTGTTGCAAGTTTAGATTGCGAAGAAGTAAAAGTACATGTTCAAACAAGATTATACAGATACATGACATGAGTAGTTACAGGCTATAAGTACATATGGACGATCAGAGCAGTGAATATATGTGCACGCGCGTGCTCCAAGAAAGAAAGAAAAAACGAATCAAAGAACTTCACCACTTGCCCTTCTTGCCCTTCTTCTTCCTGTCCCTCTTCTTCTGCTTCTGGCGCTGTCTCTCTTCGTCCAATTTCTGAACGCTCGACGAAGAATAATACAGTCCGCTACTCTTGCGATAGAGATGGGCTTTGTATCGAGGGTCGCTATCGCGCAGAGCCATAACAGCCACCTACAATCGGCGTCAGCCCCGCTTCGAATTGCTTTTCAAGCCAATGCTAAAACATACCTTGACGATTTCATTGTACTTTATTCGCATCATATCTTGACATTTCTTATTCATCTTTCGGCAGAACCTTATCATGGGCATCAGTCAGAATGCGTTAGATAGGACAACAGGAGACAGCTGACCTCTGGCATCTTGGATCATCCATGCAATACGGGTTAGGGCAATGAACAGGTTGGAACCACTCGAACCGCTTAGCAGTTTGGAACTTGGACCAGAAGGTGTAGAACCGACGGACTTCGGGTCCGGAAATGTTCGCGCGCTCCTCGTTGGCGTATGTAGACAGATCAAAGACAGAATGTGCGTCTCCGAATGAGGGGTACGACGAAGCCTGCTTCCCGCTCCATTGTAGTTCATCTTCAACAAGTTTGGCGAAGAATTTGGGTACGATGTTGAACACGCTCTAGTGTGACTGTGAGTATGTGTACCGAGTACGGAGGGTGGGTTTTCGAACCTTGGGATGATCCTCATCTGCAGTCCAGGACATACCATCGAGGAGATATAAGAATATGATGAGGTCCTCGAAGGAAACCTTGTCGTCGTCTTCGGCGAACGAGCTTTCGGGACTAAACCTGGGCTCTGCACCAGGGAAGAAATGGTACTGTTGACCATCACCCTCGTCGTCATCGTCTTCGTCTTCATCAATGTTGTCCCTCCACCCGCCAGGAGCGGCAGGGTATTCAGACGCGTCGGCTCGATTCTCGGCTGCCGTCCTGGCATTGTCATCGCAATCGGATACTTCGCGATGAAATGCCTCAGGATACAGGTTGTACCGCCTTCTGTCCTATATAGTAACAGTGCCTCAGCGAATGAAGATTGAAAAGATAAAATCGAGCTCACGTCGTCGTCCATCAGGACCTGCCACCGCCAGAAAGTGAGTCACAAAAAGAAACATCAACGAAAAAGGCTGCTTTACGCACATCGTACGCCCTCTTTACCAACCGGAATCGTCTATTCGCACCCTCAGCATCCTCGAGGTTCTTATCCGGGTGCGTCTCGACGACTTTTTTCAGATATGCTTTCTGCGTATGATAAGGACCACAGTCAAAGAAAAACAGAGCCAACTCACCCTGATCTGGTCACTTGTCGCGTCTTTTTCGACAGACAAGACAGTGTAAAAGTCACCGAAACTGCTGGGTCCACCGCTACCCTCCTGTACCACCGAAGGTCCGTTGCCCATTCTCGCGTTCCGTTGCTAAGGACTCTCCTAATAGTGGTGGAAGTGTCGCCTATCCAAGGGTAAAGTAGCGTGTCTTTGTTAGAGGAGCTGTAGGGGACGATAAGCTGCAGAGAAGTATCGCGATGGACGTTCTCCTCGAGGCTGGGCGCCAAACGCAGAGGCGTCAAAGTTTTAATTATCTACATCACGTGTCCAATGTGGCGTCGCGCCCAATAAGGAAGGAGTAATTCGCGTTTGTTTTCTTTCCCCTATGTCTTATATACGTGCTCGTCATCTCTAGTCATTTTGAAATGACTCGTTTGCTCCTATATCCGACACTGTGATGAATGTCTTCCCATTTGGCCAATCCTTCAACTTCTTCGTCTTATATGACCAGTCACAGGGCTTTTTTTTTTTCTGAAATGTCTAATCCGTGAGACATTTTCGGCTGGCAACCAGCGATATTACAGCGGAACGGGTGATTGGTAGACCTGTAACCAACGGCGATCGGTTACAGGTCTAGGTGATTGGGGTCGGTGTTCTTTTTTGGTTTATGTCTTGCTCTCATAACATCCTTACTGTCGAAGCCATGGTTTGGGTTACCATATCGCCCCCATATTCCGCGCGAGTGGCGCTTCTAGGTTGAAGTACATGCCCTTCGTTACAGTACCATTGCTCCACGCATTTGGAGACTGCTTTTGCGGAGATGCTTGCACCTCTTCCTTTTTCGTCGTTTCCGGCTACGGATACAATATCTCCTCTACCTTGGATTGTGCCTCCATTTGGCATCTCTTTAATTTAATTAGCCCCCCCCCCCTCTCTGGTATCTGGAACGCGTTCCTCTTTATGGCCAGTGCCAGTGGCCGTTTACGTTGTCGGTAGACATGAAAACTCAGCTGTATATCGATACCGAAGCCAGGACTTTCTGACTATCTGATTGTCGGACAAGGTTACGTTTGGAAAAAGTAGTTGACTCTTTACTATGCCCTTCATTCATGCCTTGGGTGACTAGTTATTGGGCAGGCGACCCCTCATTTTTATCACCTGGACAATTTATCGACAAAGGGTCTGTTCTCGCACCATACCAATGTCGGTCTTTTGACGTGCATGGTCTTAATCAAGTATCCTCTATTCTGTCCCCCAACCCACGGTATTCTAATCCCTTATTCTGCAGAGTTCGATGCTTTCTTTTCGATTTCTGCGAACCACGCTGTGACTCCACCATCTCCACCTCAGAGTTTCCCGCATACTTGTTGCATTCCCAGATCTCGGTCCTGATTTTTATCCTATAAAGTTATCGGCATCACCTGGAACGTCTTTCGTGCGCGTGTATTGAACTGTTAATATACGCGCACGAACTTCAAAACTTCAAGATTGAACTTTGAAGCACCGTCGAAAATCAACGTAGTGAGCCGAGCCATTCTTATCAATGTCGATTCACCGGGTTCATAGTATCAGACGGTGTAATTATCAGTTCAAAATCCGGTGTTCTTATTATCACGACACTCCGAGGACAGAAATCTACAATTTATCCCGCGACCACCTAAAAACAGCTTAAAGTTAGCTATCAGAAAGCCCAAGCCGACAGGACGCACTTCTTCTCAAACTTCTGGTTCACCTCCATGAGCTTCGTGCCTTGGTTAGGCTCGATAGTATTCCATGGCGTGGGGTTGGACTTGGTCCATTGAACTCGATGGAGCGTAAAGAAGGACTGTCAACACCAGTTCCGGGAAGTGTGCAGCTAGTACGCACTTGTTGGGCCCATGGCTGAACGGGAGAGGTACCAGGCTCCGCCACAGACGATGCCTCCCACGAGAATGATACTAGAAACCATAAATTCAGAGGGGAGGACAGTGAGAGACGAGACGACACTTACAGAGGAGCTACCTAGTATCTAAGGATCAGCTCAGTCCCTCGTAGGATCCACGCACCGCACCTCTACAGGAAGCCAGTGCTTTACAAAGTTCTTGCGAAACGAGTTGGACTTGGGCATGATGGGAGGGAGGAGCGATGTATCGGACACAAAGGTGGTCTGCCTTTTTCGAATTTATAGAAGATGGAGTCTGAGTAAGCCTGCCGTGGCGGATTCCTTATTCGATATGGATGAGTGAAGACTCTTTAGTAACGACCTGCATCACTGTTGAAGCACCCCCACTTATTCTTTAGGGTATTCATCGTCAGAGGGACACCTGATTCGCTATTCCTACGTTGGAATGGAGGCCATCCAGAGAACGCACAATTATCATTGATGAAGCTACCAGAACCGAGGAAGACTTCGAGGGCCAGGAACAGCGCCCGACGTATGTATGGAGTTGTATGGATAATAGCTCTCCACACTTAATTGGTGATCTCAGAGAGCCTAAAGTTGGAACTGGAGGATATCATAAGATCAAAGAGTAATTTGACGAAGCGCAGTAGCTTGGCGTATCATTCCGAGTTAGCGAAGCCAAGATGCGTACAAGGGACAGATCTCAGGGCGGTTTAAGCGATTATCCATTCATGTGGTTACTGTGAGATCCACTATTTTTGCTTGATGGCGCGTAACCGAACCTGAAAAAGCAAGACGCCCTGAGGTACGCAGATTCAAGATGCTAACTCGTCCGCGTGTTAGCATGAGAAAGGCGCGTATACTTCATTCCGTTACTCAGAGAGTAAGTCATTTATGACACGATAGGACCTCCAATTGACGTACCCACCGCTCCATACTAAGAATACACGACAAGAATAAAAATAAACCAAGCAAAAAAAGTTTGAGTAAAAGTCCCTGTCAACGCTAATCACTGAAAAAGGGATGATAGGTACAAAAAATGTTGGTACATTAAAATTTTCATAGTAGTAGTACAACATCAATAGGGAAAATCGTAATACGAACCGTCCCCTGCCATAAGTTTAAATGTCCAAAAGTCGCCCTCAGACTTGACCAGCCTGCTATTATGCATGTGGCCAGTGGACAGCTCCAATGCCAACATGCAAGGATTCGGTTTCTCGCATTGGAACTCGCTGACGATATCGTTGATGCGTCTATGACCGTGAACGCCGTGAGCGGCGTACATCAGGATGATTGGATCATCGATGGAGCGAACACTCCTCGGGTTGGCGAAGGCTATACCAATATAGCGGAGGAAGGGGAAGACACCACTGGCGGCACCATCCAAAAGCCGGGTCTAAAAGATATTCTCTCGTCAACACCATAATTTTCCACCATCAACACCACACTCACAATGACGTTCTCATCATACGAAGCATCAACCTGGCCCAACCCAACAGAAAAGTCAATAGATCTTAAATCGGTACACCTCATGATTTCATCCAATTGTGTGTCGCCGAGGCACCACTTCCCCTCAAAGTCCGTGTTAACGCGTACGTTCCTCAAGGTACCCGAATGTTTGGGTACCACGCAATGATAGAACCGGTCTGCAGCCAGATCCGATTTAGCGGCATCATCTGCTGATAAGTCCCTCAGACCGGCGTAGGACTCGAGATAGCTCAGGAGCGACTCGTCCAACTCTCGCACCGAGAGCTTCTGCAAGTGGATACGGGCGGTCTCGAGTGCTCGCCAGAAATCGGCCGGAACGGAGATGATATCGGAAGTTATGACCAGGGACGTAAGGGATTTGAAATGGGGAGGGATCTGTGGGGCTGGGTCAAGGAGATAGCGCATCGTGCCGCCTATGGTGAGGCTCTGCAACGGGAGGGCCGTTCCTGAAGGAAGCTTGGAGAAGAGGTTGTCCATCGTCGCGCTCTTGTCAGAGTTAAGTTCAGAGGTTCCGTCAAGAGTCAGTTCCGTGAGGGCCGGGCTGTTCGCGATGATGGTGGAGGGCGCGTCGTTATAGCAGAGCCGGAGACCACACAAATGGATAGAGTTAAGGTTCTTGAAATGTCGTGACAAGGAAAGAGAGATGCTGGGGTCGACGTCATGGTACATGTGAACGGATAGTTGCGACAAGCGAGGAAGGGCTCCCAGTGAGCGCATGATCTTGTCGGCAGACGAAGGTTGGATGGTGTGCATATCAAAGCTGTAGGGACGGGGTCAGTATGTCCATCGAATACAGAAGTTCGAGAACGCACTAGAGCGATGTCACCGCTGTAAACTTTGTTACTGCACGAAGAAAGTTGCTTTCAAACGCCTTATACACGCGCTGCTTGCGCTTCATGATTCGTTGCCACAGCCTGAGACGCTTGTACCGCGGTGGCGTCAGGGATAGTATAGTGAGAGTCTGGACGTGTCTCGCGACATCGCTTCGACCAGAGGCGATAGCTTTGAGGATCGACGAATACTTGCGAAACTGATAGCTGTCGGTGTCGATTTTCAGACTGGAGAAAACAAATGGCGTAGCGACTGCGCTGAAACGCTTGCATGTAGACCGTAGGCGTTTCAGGTCAGAGATTTGGAGCTGGTAGCCAAGCGTGAGAACGAGTATCGCAGAGAGGAGAGGAGGTACTCGCCTTTTGGAATATCTGGTGCAGCAGCTCGGGGGGAAGTGATAGGATCATAGCATGCATTGGCAAAAAGGTCGACAGGTCGCTGTAATATATGTAACTGCCAATCCGCAGCCAGTCCCCTGATATATAGGAATCCCTTGATGGCATTGGCACATGTTTCGGTTCAGGCGGCCGAGATTTGGCCAATGATTGACATCATTACGAAACCGCTTTTAGAAGTGATGAAAGGCGCGTGCTGTTGAGATTTACGGTTATCGACAACGCGTCTCGAGGGTTATCCATGTGTGGCTTGATGTATATATCATTGCACTAGCGAACATGGTCAGCTAAAATGTGGCAATTCAAGCACATACTTACCAAGTCTAAGTTAGCGGCAGCTGCCAAAATCAATGTCATCGGCCATGTCAATCTTAAGAGGGAGAGCGAAAGCCGCAGATGTCATCATTACCAGGAGGACGAATTCGCAGTGTCATGATGGGGTGGAGATCTGGATCCTACAAACCCCGCTTTATTAGCAGACCTGCAAAATGGAAAAACGATGAGAATTAATTAATGATGTCTCTAGCGACTGTAGCCGACCTGTTGAGATCCATTCACAACAATTCAGATGGCAGCAACCGTTAGCGGGTAACTAACTATTGAGGGCCCGACAAGGCCAAAGAATCCCGGAATGTTTTGTGTCGTGTTTCCAGAACCGTATATTCCTCATAACCAAGAATATGACTGTTCCAAGAGCAGAGGTCTAGCTTGGTCCGACCACCACGTATCGCATGCGAGGGGGGGTGCGGTCATTACAAGCTTCTACAAGGCCGTCACCGAAGAAATGTATGCAAACTTGAACTAATCAGAAATTCGAAGTATAGTAACCGTAGAAGCGAGCTTCGATTGTTGAGATGTGAGGTGGTCGTTTGACCGTAAGATGCATGTTCAAGTTCAAATTCTGAATCTGATTTCCCACCGCCACCACGTGATCGTCGTTCGCATTTGGAAGGCACCTTTTTTCCCTTCCATCAGATGCTTCCACTGACTCAACCAGGAGTATCAGGTATCTCATATTCCTGCTGAGATGACAGGTGAAACCCTTATCTCCGTATTTTCATTGCATACGTCTCCACCAATGGGACCCTTCTACGGCGACAACAGACCGCAAGCAAGCGCTGCGGAAACCGTGTTGTTCGCTTTTGGATCAGAGCGCACAAGCAGCCGTCATAGGAACTATTTTTAGCATCCTTATCTCATGTCAGTGAGCATTGGTATACGGAATCTTTGCCAATTGTCGTTCATCAATTTCAAAGCACTCTGAACGATGATCAGCATTGATGTAATGGTTGCGCAGCAGTGTACTGCGCATAGTTTCACGTCCAATACGCTTGAGTTGATATGTCATCTTCAAGTCGGAGAGAGGTAAAGCTTTATCATCATTTTCATATAGCAGACTGATAACAGCAAGCCCTGTAGAATCTCAATACTGAAAACGTTGGTTTAGGTGGCGGTGCAGCAGGCTATGGCAGTTCTGGTAAGCCTGTGCAGGCGGCCCTGGGAGGCCCTGTCCCATCAGCGAATCATTCAAGAGCATCTTTCGCTACAATTGAACGCGTCCCCGCCTTCTATGCATCTAATTGATTGTCCACTAGACTCAGACTCGGAAGGGAGGAGATATTTCGGCTCGTAGACGGCACGGCCAACCACTATTGATGCGAACACTTTTCAGTCCTTCCTTGCTTTCTCGTACCATCTTACCTGGTTCTCGCTAGCGTCTTGAGTCTTGACGCCTTTCGCAGAGACCAGCAGTGCCCTTTCATAACCGTAATAATGAATTCACTCTATCACTATCCCACAGAACACCAACACATCCTCTTCTTCCAGTTCGATTGATCCTCGATCAATGGCACAGCATCTACACCAACAAACTTCTGGTATCTTCCGAAGTTACCGATGAAACAGCATCCAAGATGCTCCTAGACGTCAACCGCGCTGTTTTTGCCTTGTTGAAAATGTAAGCGACACTCTCCTTGATGATCCCTACTACGCCGACACCGCAACATGAAATCCATCATGATCACCGAGGAAATAATACAGTACTATACACCCCGAGTTCCCCGTGTTGGACTTCATTGATTGTAGCGCTATAAAATGCCTCATCGAAGTCAGTATCAGTACTCACTCCCCTTCTACCTCTTCTCACTCTTTCCTGCGATGAAGCTTGCTTCGTTTTCCTTGATAACTGCCATCCTCCCTGTGACGGTATACGCAGCGACGTATAATGTAGCCGCCGGAGTCAACGGAACACTCGCTTATGACCCAGAATATGTCATTGCATCTGCCGGTGATACAATCAACTTCAGTTTGTAAGCATTCTATCGACGTGTCCCGATGTAATGTCTTATACTTAGTTTCAGCAACCCTAAGAATCATACCGTTACACAGTCCTCCTTCAATGCACCGTGTGCTCACCTCGCTGGCGGTGTCGATTCGGGCTTGTGAGTTTACGTCTACTTTGCTTACCCTTCTGAGTCTAACCAGGGTCTTAGTATGCCGGTAACCGCCGATCAAGTTGACTTACCTGCGTTCCAACTCAAGGTGAACGATAGCAACCCTATATGGGTTTATTGTCGCCAGACTGGCCATTGCGGCAAGGGTACGCATGAGCCCACTCTATCTTAACTTCCCTAGTATACTCATAGTACCACGACGTCCAGGGATGGTGTTCGCCGTCAACCCAGGCGCAGAAGGCTCCTCTAACTCCTTCTCCGCATTCAAAGCTCTCGCGATATCCTCCAATGGTACTGCTTCGTCGTCGTCTGCAACATCTACATACACCCCTCCCCCTGCACAATCCTGGACGACGGTCACCGCGACGGTCACCAGCCAAACTTCAGTCTGGCTGACGACGTACACCAGTTATGACGGTACACCAGGTATGTCTTTTTTCTCCTACACCTAGACTTGCCTCTCATCTGCTTCGTCTAGCTCCAACATACGCACCCCAGCCTGTAGACCACAAGATCGTTGTTGGTATCGACGGAAAGCTTGAGTACGGTCCCGCCAATGTCAGCGCCTCCATCGGGGATACCGTCACATTCGAGTTTCACCCGAAGAACCATACCGTGACTCAAAGTAGTTTCCAACACCCATGCCAGCCCCTCGCGGAGACGTCCACCTCCGGCCAGATAGGATTCTCGTCTGGATTGTGAGCCTCCTCCCCTCCCTCGTCTCTCTGTCTGACATTTTTTATGCGCAGCCGACCGGTGGCTGCTAATGCTACTGATTTTCCGACGTTCCAGATTAGGATCAACGATGTGCGTTTCATGTATCACTTTCGTTTCAACACTCAACTGATATCATACCATAGACTGCACCGATTTGGGGCTACTGTGGCCAGACGAACCATTGTGGTTCTGGAATGGTGTTCTCAATAAATGCTGTTGAGACGGGACCTAATAACTTTGCGGCTTTCAAGGAGCTGGCGATTCGGACGAATGGTACAAGAGCTGGAAACAGTAGCGGGAGCGCAACCAGTGGAAGTGGAAGCGCTTCTAGCACTGGAAGTAGTTCTGCTCCTAGCACGTCGGCATCTAGTTCTGATTCGGGATCAGGATCCAATGGCGCCTTGTCAATTAGCGTAGATGCTGGATTGGGTGCCATGTTTAGTGCGCTTGTATACCTCGCATTCCTGATATGACCTTATGTTAGTGACGCGATTCGGACTCTGTATTTAATAACTTTATGTTGATCATACTGTATCTAGATGAGATATACATTAGCGCAAACTCTTTTCTTAAACATGTCCGGGATTGTCTGCTCAATGGACATCGCCTTTTGATGATTCTTCGTCTCTGTTTTTCACACAAAATGTGCCGGAACTTTGGGCATAGAATTATGCGTATTTTAGAGTATGACATTAACAACAAAGTGCATGGCTACGTCGATCGGTGAGATGGCCCAGAAGTCGAGTATTCTATGCCTGGATCCAGCCGGACAATCATAGTCAGGGCTCAAAGGCTTCAGGCAAACGTGAGTAGGAGATGTTTTAAGCGAGGGTCAAAGTGGACGTACCCTGTTGTATGGTCCTGATGATTTGGTTGGCAGAGGAATTGAATGAGTGCTGCAACCTCTGTAGCCGAAGTTCCTGCCGCGACAGGCAAAAGGGAACTTAATAGAGCCGGAGCGACGGGAAGTACTAAGGCTGAGTAGAACGTCTGGCACTCTGCATTCAGAACAATATAATCTGACTTGCTGATTAGATGAGCGCCTACCGAAATGTGATACGGTATCGACTGCTGGGGGAAGAGAAACTGGTCATCGTCGAAAGTCAAAGATATCGGTTTCTGGGTCTTTATTCAGAAAGGGGAAATGTCTAGGAAGAAACCGTTTACCTCTTCGGAAGGAAAGGGGAATGGGACGCAGTAGCTGATCATGTTTCCCCAAAATAATTGAAGGACGATTAAGAGATACGATGTCGCTTTGCTGATGCTATGAGATGGAGGTCTGTACAGTCTCCCCGCAAGGCTTTATAAGGTGCCGTCGAAACAACTGTCAAAATGATATAATAGCGGTAGCCAGTATCACGATATAATTTCATCGATCCCTTCCATTGTTCGCCCGATTAAACTTGAACAAGAGGGCGCTCTTTGTCTCGGGTACATAAGAGCTCCCGGCGGCCACTGGGTAGAATATTCGAGTCTTCTTAATTGCGCGTGGATAACGGCCGGGACAACTGGTGGCGTGGACTAAGACTCTGCTTCGCCTTCGAGCACAATAGCTCGTGGCAATTTTTGACAATAGGTAATGGATTTGATAGTAAATGAAAAGTCAGGGGTATGAGTCTCAGAAGAACAGCAAGTATCGGAGCCTAGCGAGGGCGGTCATCTTCGGGGTCCTCCTATTCTCATTCTCCCTACCAAAATCACCCAATGACGCGTATACCTTCAGAATGAAATTCATGAACAGACTGTTCGCCAACACTCCCATCATGCCTAAGTTTCCGCACAAAGGAAACATACAACGGCACTGAAAAAGTTTCCATATACAGTTTCCGTCAAGTCAGAAACTGGATTCTCCCTGCTAAAAACTGATTTCTGGCAGACGGAAATCTATCTGAGGAAATCTTTTCAGTTCGGCAGACCATTTCTGTCTGATTTCCTCCACGTGGAAACAATTGGAGGACAGTAGTGCAATGTTCCTCCGCCTGTTCATAACAATCTGGACACCATGCCTGGTATCCTATCTTCGCATTTAACTCCAGCCCATCATATTTCTCTGCAAATGACTTGAACCTGGTTTCCAAGTCCCAAGTCGAATCGATGGTCCATTTTGCAATGAAATCTAAGCGACGGAGAGGATGTGGGCTACGCATCCGCGACTCGACCATTTCTAAAAGCGCTTGGGGAGCGAACCTGTTCAGCCCATTTTCGCTGTATATGATGATATGCTGAAGTCGGCTCTTTGTAAGTGTGCGAATGAGAGGGTAGGAAGTATCCATGAGTTCCCAGATCCCGCCCCATGACTCTCGGGCGTAGACATTGAGTTGGACTTGTAGGAACGTGAGGGTTGTAAAGAATCGCTTCAGAATTCCGGCCATGAAGGTGTATTTCCCAATGAGCTCAAGGTCCATGAGGGTCAGGCTCTTCAGTTTCCATCTGGAACGAGTGAAGAAATCGGTGATTATTCGAACCCGTTCTTCAGGTGGCGGACGAGGTTTTTGGAGTGAAGCCAAGAGAAGGCAGCGATCTCCAATGTAGAGAACTTCTAGACCGGGGAGAGTGAGATGCGCGAGCATGTCGACGGCGTCAACAGAGAGAAATCGAATAGATGAGTGATAAACAGGCGTGTTAGGAAATTTGAAGATTGCTGAATGTATCATCCATTCCCAGTAGATCTCTGCGAAGTTCAACGTGCAGTCAACAAGTGACGGATAGTCAGCCAGTTGATTGAGGTCATCCTCGACGTTGTAATTTCCTTTATATCTAGTTATACGCGGGTCAAAGCGAGATGAGTGCAGCCCAATCGAAGCGGTAACACTCTTCAGTCTTGGCGCATCAGAAAAGGCCGCCACATATCGGTCTATAAGGCAAAAATAAAAATCGATATCAACTTCTTCAAGGATCGGTATCCGCACGATAGTCAGATCAAGCCGGTCCATGAAATGATGGGGAGCTTTTATCCATACTCTCCGCCATCGGGGCGAATGATCTATGAGCATCTCTAGGACCTGTTCCGATATTGACAACGAATCATTACACTCGAATAAAATGTCCAAGGGACAATTTCGCGAACGATCCAAGTACACATCTAGCATCTCCAAGGAGTGTTTGGGTAACGATGCGTTGGATATGACACGTGGCCAGAGCCAGGCGGAGGACAATATGACATCTCTCCAGGAACCGCAGACATAGGAGAGGACCCAGGGAGGCTCACGGATGTTGAAGAAATTAGACGAGGTGCCGATTGTGTGATAGAATATTTCGTGTAGAATGTCGCGAGGAATACGTCGAATAGGGGCAAGGACGGAACTGTATCTTTCAAGAGCAGCAGTAGTCTCTCCACTCCATAATGTAAGAGTGACCCGCGCATTTTCGTGTCGAAGGATGTGGCAATCCATCGAACGGACCTGCTGGTCGTAATCAAAGATTTCTTGACTGTACCGGCTAACCATGAAGGGATATGCGTTCGGGTCACGATAGACCTGGCTTTCAAGATGCTGCTGTGCTTTCACTCTGCACCTCCATATAATTTCTCTGACAGACCTGTAACAATCCAGCTGCTCGATTGTAAGCTGTAACTGGTCTGCAAGAAGGAGTATCTGCCGCTGGAATGCCTGGATGCAGGATTGAATGTATGGAATATCTGCATCAAGAAGTGGCCTTTTGGAGGGCAAGATGTCGGTTATCTTCTCGTCGTGAAGCCGGGGATCTAGGGGAGGGACGTAGAACAATAAAGGAGGGGTGGGCACTACTAGATCGGTCTGGGCAACGACTGGTTCTTGTGCATTCGCTCGAAAAAGCTGTGGATGTAGCGTAAGAACAGTTAGGTTGAAATATATTGCATTTGGACGGGAATCTTTTTAACGAAGGAAAATATTTTTTTCCATCAAGAGAGGAGTCGACAGATTGTGACCTTGAGTTCAAACGATCTTTTCTAAGTCCAATTTCTGACGGGTGCGCCACTCACTTTTGAAAAGAACACTGGTTAATCAAGTGCCACTTCGACTAAATGGTGGTTCGGGTTGAAGGTAGGCGGATCACTTGCCGGGCCGCCACCGATTCATCTCCTGTCGGCCGACTGTTGAAATTTCAAAGTGAAAAAAGCGTCCCAATGCCAACAACGATCAATATAGATTTGCTTCTCGAATGGTGGGCGGCCACTATCCAATTTCCTCGCACGTTGTACTCCTGGTGCAGGACGATATGGTTAGTTGGGGCTGGCCCGACGTTTTTCGTCTGCTTGGTTGAGAAGAAAGGGCGTGGATATACGAAGGCACGCATGCTCTATTCCAGTAGAATTGTCAGGGATGCAAAGCCTTGGCGCGATGGCGCAGTAGTACAGGTACCTACAGGTATTGGCGGTTTGGCAGTGGTAAGGCCGGGCCGGGACATGGAAAACCTCCGACCCACGTTCGTGGACATAAGAGGTCCGGTTGAACCCGGGACCGGCCGATCGTTCCGTAGGACCGCGTCTTGTTAGCTTCCTGACAGTGTACTCCATGTAATTACTCCGTGTATTTCATTTCCTAGGCTACAAACTCGGAACTTTGAAGCTGAAGAGGGCAGCTCCTGCTACGCCGAGGGATGAACTGTATCCTGTCTTCTCTGTCTTTTCTCCTGGTTGGTGTGGCCGCAGTGACACAGGAAATGGGCACTCATGCCGTCCTTACCATCTAGGCTTCCCACTGCCCAACGGCGTGCAAATTCATTGAGGTTGTCGTTCCTCTCCTTGACCGAGTCCTCGTGCAGAGACATAAAACCGTAAACTGTCGTCTCTTCTTCAAGATCGACCGTTCATTACTTTCATGCTGAGATTTTGGCTGCAGAAAACAGTGTCTGGGTTCCCTCTATCCATGTCCCTCAACGCCAACTCCGCTAACCGAGGCGACGATTGATGCCGCTGACCCTGGAGCGCAGAAACACAGTGAAAATGTGCTCGGAGGAAAAGCTGTCGTAGGGTACTACTACCTTGGTGCGGAGAAGGTGGCGGTCCGCAATGTTGGCAGCGAGGTGAGCCTTTTTTGCCTTGGCTTGTTGGACAAATAATGATATATTCTGAAGGAATACTCAGTCAAAATTCCGAATATTCTTGCCAAAATCTACGATTGGACATACGTGCCTCGTGAAAGTTCACGGCTTGGAAAATTTTTCTCATCACTCTCCATTAAGTTGATGGTATGGCAATGTTTGCATGGGGCAATATAATGAACCTTCTCTGTTCCACGATTTTTTTCTTTGGTTACGCTAAACCTGCACCAATGTGACAAATATCAGGTTCTCGGACGATCATGCCATGTTAGCAAGGTCACCGTCAACAGCTTCTTTCGCTGCGATCATGCTATTCGCGGAATTTTTTTGATTCTGGCGTTTAGCTATGCTCCTTCTCTAGAGTTTCTGTCCCAAGGCGCCTTGGATGAATGCGACGGCTCCATGTTTTTCATGTCTCTCCATTCTGGCAGAACTTCTCGAGGTGCGGAGTGCTTCTAGGGTAGGGTGTCACTTGTACAATGTGATACCACATTCAAGGTCGTTCGTGCTTTCTGCGCACAAGACCTAGCTCATGTTGTCTGACGGTTCAGTCCAAGGCTTATAAAGCTGCTGCAGACACTCCACTCCTTTCTCAAGCATGTCTACAACACCACAGAACCAGAACAGCACCGTCGACCTCAACGCCTCGGAGGAGTCAAGTGTTGAAACCTTGGCTGCTCAACGAAGCGTTGTCAAGTCGACGTTAGTCGGACTAGCGTGTGCAATGGCGCAAATCGTTAACGTGCGTATACATTGCCTCCCTTGTCCATGTGTCGTAACATTAAGGTCCGCTTTACAGAGCACCAATACTAGCGCTGTATCTGTCGTGCTACCAACTCTGGCAAAAGACCTGAACATTCCAGAAGCAAGATTGAACTGGGTTGCGTCTGCAGGGCCATTAGTCACAGTAGTCCTCTTTCGCGTCGCCTCTGTTATTGCTTCACTTATAAATCATGCAGGGATGTTTCTTGATAATGTTTGGTCGAATTTGCGACCTTTATGGTCGCAAGAAGCCATTCGTATTTGGTTCTTTATGGATGGCATTTTTTACGTTAGCGCTCACCTTTGCTACTAGTAAGCTCCTTATTCTTTTCGCTTTCGTTATCATCAACTAATACGCATTGTAGACGATATCAGTATGGACATACTAAGAGGTTTACAAGGTTTAGGACGTGCCGCCATGATGCCTGCTGCAGTGAGGTCCATGAGTATCGTCATGGTCCATTCCACTGACAGGTCCTTCAGGTGGGAATTCTCTCGGATACATTTAAATCTCCCGAGGCCCGACGGAAAGCGTTCACTGCTTTCAGCGCAGGCCAGCCCATCGGTACTGCTCTTGGCACAGTCGTCGGTGGTGCCTTAACCCAACTAACCAAGTACATGCTTATCTTCTCCTCGATCTACTAAAATCTCACGTGTATGGCAGACAAACCTGGAAATCTCCGTTTTATCTCATTACGGCAAGCTCTGTCCTTTTACATAGATGATGATCTTATAACTCTACATCTAGGGCCTCTCTGTAGCAACCTTGGCCCTTGGTGTATACGCCATTGAGGAAGACCCCCCTTCCATCGAAATGGATCGCCGAATTGACTGGATTGGCCTGGTTCTCATCAGCACTGGTCTCTTGCTTGTTGTATTCGTCTTATCTCAGGGTGAAACAGCACCGGAGGAATGGAAAACTCCTTGTACAGCGTTTCTCATCTACATGAACTCAAGGCTAAGCTTGCGAACAGATATTATTGCCCTCCTCGTCGTCGGCATAGCGCTTGTGGTAGCATTCTTTTTCTGGCAGCGCTACCTCGAAGGCAAGTATAATACGAAAACAGCGCCATGGTGCTCACCACCATTGATGCGGGTGTCGTTATGGATGCGAGCAGGCGGCAGAGCCGCGGCTACATTCTTCATCACGCTCTTGACATGGTGTGCTCTATATTCATGGTTGTATTGGGCTCAGGTACGTCTTTTATATATGGCTTCTATACCCTGTCTCTAACGTTCGCAAAAGTTGTATTACCAGACCTTTATTGGACTCCCGCCTCTCGTGACAGTCGTTCGCCTCCTACCCGCGTACATCACTGGTGTGCTATACAATGTCATTCTTACGATGCTCATAAGCCGGGTTCCCTTTGTACTTCTCATGGTTTCCGGGAACGCTTTAACCGCCGTCGCGAGTCTGCTCTTCGCAGTGATCGATCCCAAGGCTGTTTATTGGGCCTTCGGATTCCCAGCCGCTGTTCTGGCGCCTGCAGGAGGGGGGTTTGCGTATGCCTGTTCGATGATCTACCTTACGAAGGTAGCGAGGCCGCACGAGCAGAGCATGGTTGGGGCTGTAGTTCAAACCATGACACAGGTTAGCAGGCGCAGTCATGACTATATATCTTATCTGATGCGAGAATATTAGCTGGGCACATCCCTGGGCGTTACAGTATCCACTGTAATTTTCGATCAAGTATCTCCAGATTCAACAGACTCGCAAGAAAATTCACCGGGTTTAGACAGTTACAAAGCAGCGCAATGGACGACTCTCGCATTTGCAGCCTTAGGTATGAGTTTTCGTCTTCCGTGAATCCAGACAGGTGATCTGATTCTTTGCAAGCCGCCTTGCTGGCCCTCATCGCGTTTCAAGGTGTCGAAGTAGTGGAGCGCAAACGCGAGGTCTGCGACAGGGAGAGTGGCGAATCCGTAAGCAGTGGCACGGTGACCGGAAAATAATAACACAACGCTCCCCTTTTTCCTTCTGTATTTTTTGAGAGCGTATAATATATTTTGAACACTATTGGCGTATCGTCTAAGATTCGACATGGAATTCTCCCAAGGCGTCTTTGGGTGTCATCCCCCTTCCTTATAACTTCGTCCTCAATTTCACATCTCGTATTCGTGAGAAGGAAGGCATCGCCAGATCTATTGCACGTTCCAATGAGATACCAGTTCCTCGATACATCGGATACGGTAGGCCATGTGGTGGAGTCCCTGCGTTCCACTTTTATAGTTCGTGTACCGGGAAAACCTCTCACGGGGCGGCCCGGGATTATCGTCACGTGCTGATAAGTCGCGTGGAGCTGTTTGAATTTCAATCGCACTTTTTGTTTACAATGATGTTTGATTTCGAGTTCTCTGCGCGGCAAACTGCAGGCTCTCTGACATACGTATGGTGGATAAGGTAAGTTGTATCTCTTGTTTATAAGGACTTACTGACATCATCTAGAAACTGCATTTTCCTCGATTACCATCCAAAAGATACTCGTGGCTGAACAGTCTTCGCGGCTACATACATGCCTTCATACTATTTCCGGTTAATTTCCGGTATCAAATTACTACTGTCGTCTTCGACCCGATGTCTGTGGTCAAGAGTCTCATGCCGGAAATTTTCCTCTTCCATTCAACCTCATGCTTGAATTCACGTCGGGCACCCGCGAGGAGGGTCTTACCATGTCCCTCGCCGTTCCATCGGAATCCCTGTACCCCGGTTCATCGAGTACGGTGATCACTGCGGCATAGTGTCTTGGGGGTCCATTCTTAGGACTCGCATAACAGGCATGCCTCTGAGTGAGGTAATGGACAACCTATCGCTGGAGGAATTGGAGACTATCAAATCCGAGATCGCCCTTATCCTGAAACGCATATGTTCTTATACAAGTCCACGGGGCAGCCGCGTTTGTGGCGTTGACGGAAATGATGTCTATGGGTGATGCATGTACTGGGAAATTTACATCCTTTCTCTTCCAGCACCATCGTTGAAATCGCTAGCGCATACATCGTTCATACTCAGCTTAACATTCCTCATGCGTAAATTATTCAGAAATGCCTCTCGAGGTTGATGCCATTTAAATTGTCTGTTCGCTCTCCCAACGCCACCGAGAACCTACCACTGGGGATCATACCATCATTGCAGCCCCACGGGTGAAAGACCGAGGGAAGGTTTTGGTTACAAGTTTCACATGAAGAATGCGGGCTGTCTCCCAGAACGATTTGTACACGATTTTCCTCGACCTCGTGCGCGTTGATCTCGTTCCCTTTGGTGGGACTTATCAAGATCGGCCACCTTCAACGGACCTACTTGGGCACCGCGAGGCTCTATTGCAACCAGGCATGGCCCTCCATTATCTCCTCTTCTCTTCTATGGATCTGGTCATGCGTCATCTATTTCCATGTTGACTAAGATAATTCTTCAGATGATTCTCTTTGCTTGAAGTCCCGACGAAGCCCTACCAACGAATTTACAACTTATGCCGCATATGAGACATCCTTCTGTCAAATTTTCCCTACATCTGACATCCGAAGCTCATCCGAAGCTTTTGGCATGCTCTGCAAAATCTTGATTACAACCGTGGGCCTCGAATAGGTGCAAATCTATACTTGCATCGAACAGACGTACTTCAGCCGTTCGGTACCTTTCACTACTGATACATATCGTATCCTGCTGACATTCCCCACTTCTAATCAGGCTTATAATTTCTTGGCATGTATCTCCGCTGGTATTTGCTTGCGAAGTTGAAGTTTGGCAGTTAGTCCCGATGTAAGGCCTCAGACTCTCTATCTCTTCACCCTCCTTCTCGATAATGAAGCGCATTAGGATCTTACTTGGCTGGAAAATACACTGTAGACCTTATCCCACATCCTGTCCTGTTCCTTTTCGACGCCGCATATTCTTAAAAGTAGCTGTGGCGTTAATCATAAGAAGAACGGCACTTCTGCGATGACTTTCTTTGACTGTGACAACCACGCTGATCAAAGAGAACCTCCCACAAGATGGGATCTTAATACCCATGTGGCTAGAATTATTCGCTCACTATCGTGCCGCGTTTCGGTGTCGTCTGTTGATGATATCATGTCTTCTCAAAGCTGAAATTTTTTCTTTATATAACGACCTTCCGAGGTTCCACGAAAATAATGTCTGGCACCTTCGTAAACCGTGCTCTCGATGGCTACCTCAACGCTCTGGCCCTCGAGTCGCTTATGCATGGTAAGCCCTGCCTCTGCCAGCCGTACCCACCCATTAACCAAATGTTTCCCCAGGCTTATTCACTGCCATTACGCTATCCGCACTTGTTAACATCCGCACGTATCGTCCCCTCTTAGTATACATTTGACTTTAATTTCGAAACTTGACAGTAAAACACAAACACCTCCGAGTAATGATCCCTCTTGTCCTCATCCTCTATATCCTCGAAACCATCCACCTCGGCGCACGGTGGTATTGGGTCCGGCAAGCCTTCATTGTTCATGGGGCTACACGAGAGACTATATTCTCCTCTTTCCTCGACGAGAGATACCGCCATATATGGATCGTCAGTGGCTTATCAGCAAGTATTAACATCGTCATTGCTGATTGCACTCGCGTAAGACCTACCCCATACCATTCCATTTCCCGCCACTCACTTATTTTAAGGCTTGGCGTGCGTGGGTCATATGGGATCGAAACTGGAAGATCGCCACTGTCCCTATAGTCGGAATAGTGCTAGAAATCAGTTAGTTCTACCGCGCCTTCCTTGTTGCGTAGCTAATGACGCCGTATAGTCTTTGACGGTTTATTTCTCTCCCAAGACCTCTCTCACACCTCCAACGTGCAATACACCAATTGGGGGTTCTCAGCGATTAGATGGGGGCTCGGTTACTTCATCCTATCGCTCCTCACGACTTTCCTCTGCACCTTCCTCATAATATACCGTATCGGCTGCAATGACAAGTACCTCAACATCATCGAGATGCTGGTAGAATCTGCTGCACTCTATTCGGTGTCGATGATCGTGTTCATCGTGTTCTTCGCGAGGGATGATCCGAGGAACGTTTACGCTCAGGCGGTTATGAACTCTATCACGGTAAGTAGGGATTGAATGCACTCAGAATCACGTTGATGGTACATAGGGCATTGCGCCTACCTTGATTGCGGAAAGGGTAGCGGCGAAGAGGAACTATCTCGACGAGAATACTATAACGATGCGAGCTTCGGAGAAGAGGCTCTCCAACGCTTCCACCACGAGGGCGAGTTCTCTAGAGTTTGATTCTGCTAGAAGTGGAGCGCCTAGTCGAATGAGCGGTGCCACGATTATATAATGGAGCCATTAAATGGACGTCAATGACCCAAGGTTACAATCTATAGCTAACTCCCCGCGACCAACTTCAACACCCGTACGAGTACCGAGCCGGAAGCTATTATCTACGGGTGATTGATATTTTCATTCCACTCATTATTGGCGGTATCTGTGTCATTCACTTCTCATGGCTCGCCATGGCAGTAAATTGTACCGGATCGTTATCCGCTGATCTCCATCATCGTCAGTTGACCGACTTTCTTAGGTATGAACCATTCTGAAAATATTCTTTTGATCCCCTCCCGTCTTCGGCTGTTGCATTGATCTCATGAGACCGACAACGAGAAATTCCCGTCGCATGATGCCCAGATTCAACTTGAGCTTTGTGAGCCAATGTTCGTTGTAGCAGTGCTCATTGAGTCATGATTACAAACGTTACTCGTACTCGTCTTCCTTTCTTGTTGCTTTCCACGTCCTGGCATTGAAAAGGTTCATCTTTTCTTATTTTTCCTATCATTACCTTATGCTCACGTAGCGTAGTTTTCGTTGCTCATGTTGGTCTCTAGGTAAACGATATAGGTTGTTATCATCGACGCAGCGTTAATCTGTCAGATGAAATTTTTTGTATTGTTTTGGTTGACCCTGTCGTCGTCCAGTAAATTTTCCTTTCCTGATCGTAACTTAAAATAGGAAGTCTTGCAGGTTTATAGTCAAATATCCATGCTTTTCTCCCCTCCATTCCACAATGCGACCCCATCTTTGGCAATATAGTCTCTTCTGTTGTCTTCCACTCAAGTTTTCTGTCCAAGGGAAAGTTGTCAATGTAACCATTAACGATCAAAGCCCTTCGTTGTTTTACTCTCCTGAGGATGGATGGAACGACAGCCTAAAACCATGCCCAGGTTGCACTGCGCACCCTAACGCCTCGAAAGCAATATACGGGACATGGCACGATTCTACAGTGGGTTCTATATGTTGACCTGGATATTTTTCATTATTTTCTGTGAGTAGCACTATCCGGATGTTGGGAGCGAGCTTAGTCCAATGCCTAATGTATCTGCCTTGTTTAACGGTAAGTGTCAGATTCTCTTAGATAAAGGCGTATCCGAATAATTGTGCCAGGCACTGCCATCTACGTGATATGTATACTCGCCAAAACCACCACCTCACCCACCGGGAACTCAGACATGAGTTTTTACATTGATGATGACCTTGTTGGCCAGTTCATACAAGCCACTCCCGGAGAGCCGGGCTTCGAGTACAATGTTACCGTCTATTCCAACTCTTCAATTCCTGTTGGCCAGCACAGATTTACACTTCAGAACGGACACATCGGTGGAAACAAATCATTGGCCCTTTTTGATGCCTTGGTGTATTCGTATGTCTAGTACTACCTGCACTATTTATCAATTCATGCGTTTCTACAGCTACGATGATGGTCAATCTGATAATGACCGGTCCGGGTCCGATACGGACGCAGTTACCACTAGTTCGAACGTCAGGACCATAGTCGGATCCTCTGTTGGAGGGTCTCTGGCCCTAATGTTAGGTATCCTTACCTTTATTCTCCTCCGGCAGCGAAGAAGACGCCGTCATTCCGCCTTCAGCGGAGACATGGCGGGAGTTGCTAGTAACAGCCATTGTGATCAACATATTTTGCGCAGCGGCTCTGTGATAATTCCATTCCTCTTGGGTAGCCACCATAACCAACCACCAACCACTGCTGTCTCCTCCGCCAATAATTCCAGATCCCAACGCACGAAGATCGCACAGAGTCCGGACCAAGGTGTCACTCCCGTACCCCATCCACTTGCTAGACCTTCACCTGGGGATGCACCGCCGCCATATTACTCCTAGATCGTCGAGCGGAGAGAGGAAGTCAAATATGAATGTACTTACTTGGCTTCTGATGTACTGCACATACACAGGGTCCGAGTAGTACAGGCACGGCGTCGAGAGGGCAATGGGACACTGGAGGTTTACCAAGTGGCAAGGAATCAAGGATCCGAGGAGTAAAGTGGTTTTGTACTGTCAGTACTTATTTGAGAAGTGGATGTTTCTTTTGATGAACAAAACTCAGACATAGATGAATGGCATGGTAACCCATACGTGAAGCCGTAGATGAACAAAGCACAGATTGAGCACAGATCATTAAGACGAAGTTGTCGGCGTGATCCGGGCAAGAAGACTCGGGCCGCCTTGGGCCGCCTCGCCGTTGGCAACCAATCAGGTGAAACTCAAGACATTTCTTGAACTTCACCACCACCACCACCACAAAACGATCATCATACTGATCCTCAGCGTGCAACTCTCACTTAGGCGGTGCCTAAGTATGAAGTCACTGTATGGTGCTCGCGCTCACTTCACAATCACGTCTTCTGCGACCATAAATTTTGTCGGACAGTCACGACGCTACAGACACCTATCTCATCCTTACTACGCCTAATATCTTTTGCCAATTCTTTCTCTCTGGATAGTCTCTTAGGCTTCTCTTCATAACACCAAGTTATCAAGATCATCTAGTAACGACGGGAACCTTAGTTGTTGATCCACGCCGTGATCATCCATTCAGACGAGCGATCCGTACACTGCTTTGATCGTTACAGAATATGTTATAATATTGAAATATCCGCAGATAGAGCTGCACAATCTTCCCGTTTCCAGCACTTCATCCAAGTAATGCACCTTTTTTGTTTCTGCTCTTCTCTCGCGTGTATACTTCTTCTGCTCGAGCGTACTGTCCAAGGTCGTCTTGTGAACGCTACAATCGACGACCAAAATCCCATGCTGCTTTACTCTCCTGAAGATGGCTGGCGTAATAGCAATGTCCCGTGCCCAAGCTGTACCGCACGCCCCGATCCTTCGATGGCAATAAACGGGTCATGGCATGATTCTACGGTAATTCTTCTCTATTCGCGTAAATCGTACTCGCTGAAATGCGGAATAAAGTTCGACCAAAATGCAAAGAACAGCCCTAATAAAGTGCGCAACGTATCCACAATATTTAACGGTAGGTGCCGGCTTCTCTGGACGAATTCTTTGCTGAAGAAGTAAAAGGTACGGCCATCCATGTAACATGCATACTCGCCAAAACCACCACTTCACCCTTCGGGAACTCAGACATGAGTTTCTATATCGATGACATCCTCGTTGGGCAGTTCAAAAAGACCGCCCCTGGGGAGTCAGGTTTTGAGTACAATGTTACCGTCTATTCCAACTCTTCCATACCATCTGGTCAGCATAAATTCACAATTCAGAATGGCCATGTCGGCGGGATAAAATCACTACTTCTGCTCGATGCCCTCGTCTATTCGTATGTCCACCTATTACTCTCTGTTGAAACAATCCGCTTACCAAGTTTCAAAGCTATGACGACGGTCAATCTGATTCCGACGACGTGGTTGCGACAAAAGATATGACCACTACATACATAGGCACCACTATTGGATGTGCTATTGCAGGAGTCATCACTGGGATTCTAGGAACAATAGCTTTTCTGCTCTATCGACGTAGAAGACGCAGTCGCCAGCTGAATGAACACATCAACATTGAAGGTCGTATTAATCGAGGACTGAGGACACCGATATCAACGATAAGCCCATTTAGGACGACGCAATCCTTTTCTGATTATCACCACCCACCGCCGACCACTGCTTCCGTATCTTCTTTCACGGCAGCTAGCAATCCCAGCTTGCGAAACGCTGATAAACGAGCAATCCCTGACACACATAGGCGAGTTAGGTGTGAGAATACAACTCCTCGTGATTACCGCAACGCCGAAGAAGGCTTGCCCTCCGTTGATGAAGAAGCTTCAGATATCTGGTCCTGTCGTGGGACTCGAGCAGAGGACCCGGAGGAAACCATTCATCACGAGCGGATCAAGAGATGACCTTGAGATCCTTCAGTTTCAATGCCTTCAAGGCGCATTCGTCGGGGGCTTCTGTCGTATGATTGAGAAGCATCGATTTCGTTACCATCTGCATAGCCTATTTCTGTTAGTTCTGCTTGTACATATGTTACATTTAATTATATCCACATCTGTCTGCATCCACGGAATCATTCTGGAGTGTGTATGTTACAGCGTAATTTGAGCGTGGTCATGCATCCAAAGTTCAAATCGTCTTGGCACTTCCAGCCCCAAGTTCAGCTACTATAGGATTCCGCGTTGGCATGCGCATCGCGTCGGCGAGTCCGATTCTTCGATACTTATTTGATTATCAGATGGCTTACATGCCAGAGCTCGTAGTAAGCTTTCCTATAGGATGATGCGACGAGTAATTAATCGAAAGGAATTGATCACTCCGGCAATTCCCATTATATGATGGAACTCGGACCGTTGTTCCGTTCTCTTCTTGCCCTACAACCACCATCACCGAAGACTTGACTTAGCTTCAGATGCTGTGCCCTTTCAATGGGGTGAGAATATTCTTTGCGCTAGTATCAAAAAAGCCAACTTCTTGCGATACCTAGTGACGAGCGAAGCTTCTGGCTTCTCTCTTCTCTTTTATTCTACCCTCATGGAGGAATTGAAGTTCTCTATTTCGACTCATGGAATCTCTGGATCTTTCGCCCTTCGGACTGTATCATTCATGAAGGTCCACGATGACGCCTTTATCTTGACCTTGTCGCTCCTGGCACTCTATTCACTTGCCACATGGTACCATTGGCTTTTCTCTGCCAAAGACAAGCTGAATTGCCACCTTTGAGGGTCGTAAAACCATTCAAAAGTCAGATTATGGTCAGTGTTACACCCATCGATATTCGAGTCCAGAGCTCATGCTTCCTTCAGCTCTTCGGTTTGCGATCCCTAAACCCAATCTCGCACCAGCCCTTTTGACGAGCTGCAAATCGTACCCGACATCCCTAACGTCGAGAGGATCAGTCTTCCTTAGTCCACGACCCACTGTTTTCGTCGACGCGTCAAGTAAATGGGGCATCGGCATCTATGTCGACGGGCTTTGGGACGCGTGGCGTTACCACTCAGACCACTCGTTCACGTCAGGGGACATTAACTGGCTGGAAGCCCTCGCAGTGGAAATCGGAGTGCACACTATCCAGGCGCCAGGTGTGGAGGCGACGATTTTCAGTGATAATGCCGAGGTCATTCGTGCGTTTAATCAGAAGAAGAGTCGAAACCCCTTGATCAACTCATCAGTCAAACGGACGTATTCGTTGCTTAAGGCGAAGACGATGACGGTGGAATTGTCTTATGTGCCAACAAAAGATAATCCAGCGGATGTTTACTCGAGAGGAAAATTTGGTCTTCCGGAGGAGATGATCGTACGGCCGTTGAGTCTTCCGGGAGAGCTGCGTTCCATTGTATCGAAGGTCACGTTTTGGTAAGTTTCTCAAATATTCTGGTCAATCATTTTCGAGCCCGACGCACTTAGCCGTCCCCCAGATGTCGAGGTTCGCCGTGCAATGGAAGTTCCCTACGGCTGTATGATATTGGATGCTCAATTCTGCGGGAGTACTTCACGGCGCCTTCTTCGTTGATATTCTGTAGAGTCGTGGATACCAAGGGTCATGATGATTCTCCATCTTAATATTAGTCTCAATCTATATCCGCCTAACATGTCAGTGATGGAAAAGCAAGGCACAATCTATTATGCTAGCAGCAGTGGGCTATCGCACTGGTATCACACTGTCTACCTCTTCCAAAATCATTGTCATCCTCAAACGGGAAGTGAAGGAATTGTGACATATAAAGTAAAGTGAAGCATATGTGGATATCAAATTCTTCTCGAGAAGAAAAGACACTGATCACATTAATAATTACCAGACCTCTACGAACTCTCTGGTAGTATATCGGTTAGTACACGCGCCTGTCACCTGTGTTCGCGCGAAAGCTGGGTTCGACTCCCAGCCAGAGAGTTGATATTATTTCCCTCTATGTTATTTTTTTTCTGTGGAATGGTGACTGGTGAATCTTGAATCTTGAACCTTCGTTCAATTGCACATCGTTACTCAAGATTCAATAGCTAATATTCATGAAAGGTCAGTAAAATTGCTACGTGCTATGAAACTGACGTCCCAGGTGTGATGCAGTGGTTTACAAGTGCAGCGCCCCGGATGTTCCGGGGGGAGACATTTCAAATGACTCTGTAGAGTGATTAATGTACTAACTGGCATAGAGAAGGGACCTTTCCAGAAGGCGAGTAACAATATCATGCGTATAAAGATTAATCCGTCAAACACTCAGTTCTGAGTCAGACGACGTGTCAGACTCGGAAACACTCCGTGAATCTATCTGCCGCTCCAAATGATATGCAAATCCACCTGCCGAAGGGCCATCCTTGAACTTATGGGTGGGCATAAGGAAGCACGGGGTGTTGGGGGATTGCTCTGTGGGAAATACACCGTGCCCCTGTATGTGAGCGCGCCAGGAACTCCAGCGTAGTGGAGATTTTCGATGAAGTAGGTGGTGCCCCGGATTGTTACATGCTGATGCGCAGCGTAAACCTTGCCATAGGGGAGTTGGTAAAAGGCACTGGGAGTATGAGAGAAGGCGGAATGAGGGATAGAATAGTCTATACCACGCCGTTAGAATATGAGCGTTATGGTTAAATGGAAGAGGGCTCGTACTGGTGGACGACATATCAAATGGCCAATAGAATTGATTAGAAAGAACGACGTCTCGGTGAAGGCAAGCTTCAGAGAAGGAGATGAAGTGAGCAATAAAGACTGTAATGCGCCTTTCAAAGGGGATAGCATATTATATATTCGCAAAGAATAAAGGGACAAAGGAAGCCGGCCGTTAGTAGCCACTCGCGGGATAGGCCGAGAGATAGAGTCGGATTACACAAAGAATATCCTTTATGTGTTAAGTACGGGTGCTATCTCCCGACGAGTTAAGATTGTCCTTTGTGCAGGCTGCCGACGAATCGACTGCCCCTGATACTCGCGTGACGCGCAAGCGACGCCAGCCGATCTAGGACCCAGGTTATAAACCCAGTATGGTGATGACTAGAGCCAGAGGTACAATGTCGAGATACAAAAAAATACGAGCATACATATCCAGGATCCTCAAAGGATCCTGGGTTTGAATTCTACTGGTGAGTGTCAAATGGAAGGATTCAATCATCAGGTTGTCGCGGACCCGAGACCGACATGAGCACTATGCTCTACATAGATACGGTTAGACTAAGTACAGGACCAAAAGATGAGAGTTGACGTACAATTTCTTGAAGCTACCGCAGACCGACTGTCGATTTTGACGATGATTTGAACATGGAGGCAGGAGACGCGTCTGTGGCGTGGGAATCGGATAGCCGTTTCCCATTCAGGGCTCTGGCTCCGGCGAACGTTGGACACAACGACCACCACGAGCTTGACTAACAATCCTTCGGCCACCATACTCAATGCTCAGAATTCTCAGTCCTTTCTCTGCTTCGATTTTTATTCGTCGGGCTCGTCTTAATACCTGTTGAGAGGATGTCGCAAAACGGTGCTGCATGTACGGTTTTTTGTTACCTTTTTCTTCGTCTACTTAACCGTATTTATCTCAGCTTGGCCGTAGAAAAGAGTCGCCATGAAACAGCTGCGGAAAGCAGTACTGAACGAGGATTGTGGTAGCAGTGCAGGCGTGTTTCTTTCTCGTCGCCGTATGTATCGCACTCACAGAGACCCCCGCCAGTCCTTTATCTGACCCACAGTCAGTTCGACAACGATGACAACGATGTGCGAGCTACAATGTCTATGCTGGGCTAGTACAAATTGGCCTTCTGCGAGGGTCTGGATAACACAAGATCTTGTCTATCATACGACAGACTGTCGTGCTGCTAGTCGATAATGGGCGGGCTTCGTTCAACGAAAGTTGTCGGGAACTGTAGGGGTATCATCCATGGCTCCGTGTTGTGAGTTCCAACCCTACTTATTTCGCCACCTCGCCCATCATCAATTAGGTGGACATGTTCGACGGCATCGACACCTCCAACGAAAGGCTTTACGTCATCTAATGCCATAATTGCCGGATGACATTGGCGTAACGAACTGGGACTTTCAGGTGCGACCTGTGATCCCTTTCATCCTTTACACTCATCACCATCGAACATTTTAGGCGCTTGAACTAACGGAGGATATGTCGGCGTTTAACTACCACCAGCGATTTGCCGTTGGGACCATGACCGAACCTAAATTCGACGAGATAAACATCAGATTCGACTCGTCTATATCCCAGGACGACAACCTGTCTTCAAGCCCGCTTACAACCACATTGCCCCCGCTATGTTTCCTGGGACCCTGAGAAATTGCTGAGTGATACAGATCACACTTTCCCTGGACCCCCGGGCCGTTACTGACCATCTCCAGGAACTGTGCGTGTGTGCGTTCCTGGACTGTACAAATCTGCTGACGTCGACAGTATTTTTAGGACGCAGAACTGACGGGGAGGCATAGGAGGTGCACGAGGTGGATGTAAGTTCTGGCAGTGGATCTGCTGTACGTACTGCCCCTTATTGTGTGATGGACCATTAGATTGACGTTACCTCAGAGTTATTTGGCAATGCAAAACCGCGCACTTCTGACGTTCTGGTTCTAGTCAGCATCGGTCGATATAATATCGGTCGCTATGCAGATGAAGCTTAAGGAGAGATGGGCGAAGAATTCATCACGGTGCGCAACGGTTCACTCGCATTTCTCGATTGTAGGAGCCTAATTCCCGGGTTAGATGACTCGATCCCAACGCGTCTTCTTCCCTTACAAACCTCTCTTTTATTACATCCACCACTCAGACTGCAATAATATAAATGGGGAGAACACGTCCTGTGTACTGCGTTCTCAAATTCGGTAAAGGACTAGAGTCTTCGGTCACAAGTGACTTCGGTTCGAGCTCGGTTAGCTATTCTCTATATGCCGTTCTTCTGCTTTCTTACAAATTCTACATAGTCCTCCTAATCAAGTTCGACGACACGGTTGCGTGGTGGGAGCGATTTATTCTTGGTGTTCTTGCGAACAGGCAGGATCCTTCGCCTAGTGCACACCACATGTCCTCAGGTGTCTGCTACAGAATCATATCGGTTTCTTGCATCCCGAGGTGCTTCACATGTTGTCTAGCTCAAGTATGTGAGTTTCTCACTAGCCTGTGGAAACCCTCCCGAAAGATCCGTAGCTCAGGATCTTAATATTCATTCAAATATTAGCTTCAAATATTTTCATCAAAAGAGAAGGCCGCTGGGCTCCTCGCAAGATTTTGGCAAAGTTATGGCGGATACCTAGTCCTTGATTCCTGTCCTTCTCCATTCGCAATGTTAAGTCCGTTCTCGTCAAGACATCGGCAGTCCTTCGTTATTATCCGGTCATACAAGTCAGAGATCCTATTATTAAGACTCGGGACCGGCATTTGACGTCTACGTTTCACACCTCAGGATTAGGGTCGGATCAGCGCACAATACGCGCATTTTTCTGATGCATAGAATCCAAACCACACACGTGAACTTCGGGTATATGAGGCATTTTCCAAGTTCACTCTCACCACCTGATACCGGGGATCTGAGGTCAGGAACCCTTGAAGATGTGAGAGCCCTCTTCCCTTTCGGATGCACTGACTTTGTTAACGGCGAATGGTTCCATCCCGCCTGTCGGTTCGCTACTCACGAAGGCCAACGAATTGTGCTCACTGAGAATCCGTCTGGTGACAACGAGCGCATGCCTAATTTCCAGGCTCGAAAACCATCGCATTGGTACAATGTGAATCTTCAGAGTATTAAAGCGGCGGCGTGAAGGTCCAACAACACCCAGACTCAAATCTTCACAACAATGCAACTTCTCTCAATCCTCTCTGCTGCTCTCGTCTTTGCGCCCGTCGTCATGGGCGTGGACTTCGCCATCCAAGTCGGTCCCGACAATGCATTCACGTTCAGCCCCACTGAGATCTTCCCCGCCATCGGGGACACTGTTACCTTCACATTCCTCACCAGGAACCGTACGTGTCCATCCGTCCATCTCTCCAACTGTTACTTATGCTTCTCACCAGATTCGGCGACGACGACCACGTTCGAGAATCCCTGCCCTCCTCCTGCAGGAGGAGTAGGACCGGGCGCATTCGACAGCGGATTGTGTGTCGCATTTGATTCGCGTGTCATTTTTCGATTACTAATACGTTTCCGCCTAGCATTGACGCTGTCAGTATGCCCGGTAGCACGTTCACCACCACGATTCTCGACACCGAGCCTCACTTTGTCTCCTGCAGCCAAGCTGCTGGGGCTCACTGCCGCTTGGGCATGACGATGTCCATCAATCCGACTGCTGAGCAGACTCAGGAGCAGTTCCTGGCTAACGCCATCGGTTCTTGAAGAGGTGGTATCTGCCGAAAGAAATATGTGTTGTGTACGAATTGCGCCCCTGTAGTCGACTGTCGTTTTTGTACCGAGGTTCACGATGGGATATAACTATGTTTCCTAAGCCGGCTGAGGATGCTCGAGTAAGAGATAAAATCATAAGTATTCTGCTTCAGCACCTTCCTATGGTCTTCCGGAGGAGACCCGGGAGATGATTGTGCCTATTGAGTCTGTCTGGATAGTTCATTTTTGCTGTATCAGATGCCGTGTATTGGTTTTGTCCCGATCTTGCCCAGACATCAAGAAAATTTTTACTTCGCACTAAAGAGTAGATAGCTTTTCTATGGTATGGCATGCTAGGTGGCCTTTACTTCGCCTATGTAGTATTTGATCGATGGAATCATCGGCAGTTATTCGGCATCCTTTTGTAGCAGTGAGTAGATCTATATCCGTGTAATAGATTAGTGAGATCTCCCGGGTAAAACTAGGGAATCACCCTGGCTCGTTCGTTATCAAGGCCGGAGAAATGAAACTGATAGGGTCGATTGTTACATTCATTCCTTCGGGAATACATGTCGTAAAATCAAATCATGTATGAACATCGTGTATGGGTATGTGCCTAAGCGCGTAGAATTGTCATTAAAACATTAGGCTAGACTATTTAAGGAGAGCGAAGCAGTATCCATAACAAGACAGTACAATAGCATATATCGAAAGCATTAGAACGCAGGAGGGATATAATTTTGGCGACATGTTCACCAGTCCAGAACCGGCGGGAAGAATTTTTCAATTAAGCCTTTGTAGTACGGCTTGAGCTTCTCGATGTCAATGGATTCGTTGCTTTTGCTATACAGATCGTACGGGTTGAAGGCTTGGACAGCTACGAGCAATTTTTGGTCTTCTTCATTGGTAAGGTGTGCGTATGCGCCTTCGCGGTGCCATCTGCGTGTGCAAGATTAGATTGATTGCCAACGTTAAGAAGGATGACCGACTCACGGGTAGAAGCTGTGGAAGCGGATCATGGCAAGACCTTCCTTGGGTAGGGACGATTGATCTTTAAGAACGTTATAGAGATACTAAACAAGCAGCCAATCAGCTATTCAATTCTTAACTAACCAAGAGGAGAAAGCAAACCTCATCGTGTCCCCATGATAGCATGACATTTTCCAATCCACAGTGAGGCTTGTATACGCCGTACTCCGATGAATAAACAGGGTCCGCCGAGTCCGGGTTGTTTGCAAAAGTATCCGGATAAATGATCTTATCTGAGAACCGGCACCCTACAACAAACGTGTCCTATGAACGAAGAGATGATGTCAGTCCCTTCAAGGTACCACTAGTACAAATTAAATGTTACGTACCCCGACGACATCCCATTGTCCCCTAAAAAGAGCAATCCGGAGAGTTAATTAACACGGATCATGACAAAAGACGACACTCACTCGGAACCAAAGAGAAAGAGCAGCTTTCCGAGATCATGCACTAGTCCGGTCACTTGCATCCATTCGGGCTTTCCATCCCGCCGGATGGACTCAGCGGTCTGAAGGAGGTGAGTTATTTGCGAAAGTTCGGTCTAGTGAGCCGTCAGCTGTGAGAAGATTGATTGAATGGAATCTGGGAAATAGCTTACATCAGGGTCCGACTCGTCGATGAGTGTATCAAGCATCTCGATTGCTTCCCAGACGCCTGCATGGGCGCATATCAGCATCATGAATGGAAAAGGGACTCCACCGAGCTTACCCATTCTCGCCCGAACGTTTTTGCGGAAGTTGGCGCGCGCCTGGATGTTAAACTCCATAGTCTGTTTTTCTACAAGGTTGCGTGAGATTTGAGCAGAGACGAGAAGGAGGGGGAGAACGAACCGTGCTGTTCTTTGTAGAAGGTCTTAACTCGATCACACGCGTCCTCGTACTGGCGGAATCGCGTCTTGTCCATGGTTTCGTCAAACTCGGACTTGCTGTCCCAGAAAGCGGGTGCCTTGCCTTTGAGGACGTTAACTACAAGGGGCAATGGTCGTCAGCGCGTCTCCTCTAGACGATGAGTTTCACGCTACCTGCATCGACAGCATCGGAGAGCTCTTCGAATTCACTGGAGATGGTACGCATGGTTGTGTAGGTGAGAGCGAGGGTGAGGGTGAGGGTGAGGAAGAAAAGGACTCGAGGGGATGGTGTTTAGGGTATAGCATTGGAACTGCTTAAATACCGATGTCTTCAGGCTGAGTCAAGGTCCGTATTCGAGCACAGATCGGAATCAAACACACGTGGAGAGATGTGTGGTCCGGACGTGCCCGCAGTCAATCTTTTCATGGCTCGAAAAGTATACAGTCCATGCCTCCCCTGCTTCTTGAAGTCGACCCTAATCCACACTTCGGAAGAACTTCTGCCAATGTGAGAACCTTTCTTTCCAATCAATCATTAACCATCGCGTGCCTTCTATGTCATATGGGGGACAACTTCTTTTCGGTGTCCACGATGTGATAGACTCATCACTGGGGACCTAATTCGGATATTTGTAGGGAAGGAAACTCTGTATTCAGGAACTTGTGCGTGAAGCTGGAGCCCCAGTGGCGTCGCCAGCGAGACATTTGCTGATAGGTCGAAATTCTTTCGATCTAGACTTGACTTCTATGTCTTAGGAAGTCGGTTTAAGCCGTACAGATTCTTCAGGCTTGTTTCTTAGGAGGGGGCTGGATGTTTGAGCGGCGATGTGTGGCGTCACCGATTCGCCGCAACAAACTTTCGACGTGGCGTCCTTGGGAAGTTCATGGATATTGTTAACGTTTTCTGAGAGGAAAAAGATGATCTCAGTGTGGGTACGTTTAGTGGCGTGCACTGCAAACGAGTGGGTCTGCATCCCAAAAGCGGTCCTGTTAATTGCAATAAAGAAAATGATAAGTCTTGAGGCGTAAATATGTGTAAAACGTTGGCGATAAGGACCTTCGCGACCATTATAAGTCGAGTGGGGATTGCACGGCGGTTTCATCTCAGCCTATAATGACAATCAATTAGCAACACATGCAGAAGGAGTTCCGAGTGTCATACATACATGACCCCGCAATTTTTAGGCGCTTCATTTATCATTGATGCCGAGGCTAGTGACTTGCGGAAGATCAAAACATACATCTTTTCGATGAGTTGTTGTGATGGAAATGTCTAAAGTCTGACTGGACAGATTCACAGTGCCATGACGATTAGTATTCCCTGTCTACGTAGTTTGTGCGTTGTGCCGCAGAAGGACCTTGGCGAGAGGTTATCGATGGACTTTCGAAGCATATGTTGCAAAGGTGAAGTTCTTACGTCGGACAAAAGCAAGGATTCATGTTAGTGAGCTAATAGCACGGCGGTCGACGACACGACATCCCACACTAGCAGATATAGAATCAGATTCTTTCCTTAGTTCAAATGGAGAATGAAAGGCTGCACTTTTTCGATGTCTGAATTGACAATTCGCCATTGTACGGCCTGGTTGGGTAAATTTGCAAAGGGTATCGGAGATTGTATGCGATAGGACTCAGTGTAACCTTTGTGATCCTGGACAGGGTTGGTCGTTGCCGCGAACTGCGACCAATGATGGTCCCATGTCAACTTCAGTGGCTGACATGTCCCACAGGCACCATTGAGTCGTCAAGTCAGGCGGGTACCTAAAAGCATATCTGAAGGATAGATAATAATTACACAAAAAGAGAGCTGGTGGTACCTACAATCCTGACGCAGCCAGAGCAGAATTTCGCGAACTTCCCTGGAGGTAAGACAAAGAGACGTGGAACCGAACTTAGGCCGAGCCAATAGGAGTGCCTAAGTGGCGTTGATTGCCGGTTATTTCCGGCCCGAGTGCTTGAACTCGAACCACCATCATCATATAAAGTTTCTCAACCGCTATCCAAGATATCACTCTGTTTACGCCATTCGCGACCAAGAAAAGGCGATGAATTGAAAATTTGTATGTATAGATATGCCTATGGTATCTGATTTTCTTGTCTGGGCCTTCTTTCCCTGACGTGCTTTCCTTTCTCATTCTAGCCGATCCCTAACTTTTCTCACTCTAAGGAAACTCAAAGTTCAATAACGTCTTGCGTAAATAATACAATGTCCACTTTCGCAGGATTGTCCAAAGGTTTGTACGTACTATCAGCTGTTTGATTCTATTATTGATATCCGCGAAGGAACGTTCCCCGCTCTTCGTGCTCAACTCACCCAAGACGGACACGAGACCACCGATTGACCCACTTTTAATGAACCTTTGCAAACTTATACTCAGTGCAACCGGAGTCATGAATTATGCGTTGACAGAGAATTTGGCCAGCAGTGGGATTAGCCGTCTTGAGGTTCTGGCCCGCTGGTAGCAAGGGCCACGAGGGCCTAGTATCTCGATATAATGGTGGTGCACCGGAAACTTTCTTTGTAGGAAATTGACCAGGCGACGGAAGGTTTGTCGCTTGTAGTTCCGCAGCCCAGGATTTGGCTCTCAATTCACTGTTCCTGCCATATTTTTAGATGCTTTGGCTCAAGAGTGGCCATGTACGACTGCGGTCTACTACAAGGAGGGCGATCGCCGCCTCATATTGTACGTGTAGTCCTGTCTTTCTGTTACGTGCCGTCTGATATCTTCTTGGACCAGGACCTCTGCACGCAGCACTAATGTCAGTGGGCTGGATTTTCTTCTAGGCGAAGTGGTGATTGAAGTAAGAATTGACAAGGAGGCTTCTGAAGGCGTGACGACAGTGTTTCTTGCCAGCGGCGCTTTCATCACGAAGGTTGGGATGCACAGCGGAAGCAGCAGAGCAGAGGCACTAGACCAAAGTGCCATTCAGGACAAGGGGCTTGGTAGGCGCTGAATGAAATTGACCTATGCTTGAGCGTCTTGTCCTCCTTCCGAAGCTCCGCCATTACAGCCCACAAAGAACTCCGAAATGAGCGGTATCTACACATCCGGCAAGGTCGAGGTTTGTATTCGGCGCAACCGGGTGGCTTTGGGAATGTTTCCTGAAGCAGAGGGGTGCGGCCTTTGACTTTCGAGACGGCGTGGCAGTCGATAGTCAATCGGCGGCCGGCTCCGCAAAGATTTATCACTGCCATCGGCTTTCATTCTATCGATCTCTACGGCTCAGCATAATGGGAGGTGCCACCGCTCATTTTCGTCGTGCAACATATCAGAGGACAACAGGGCCTCACAATACCGGTTGGTTCCCATCGAATTACCCATGATCCCCTTCCTGACCTTATTTGTAGCAGGATTGAAAGCTATATAACTTTGATTCCGAGTTCCAACGCATTTTTCTAACCCGAAGCGGCAACACCTCGTCAACAGGCAGGTGAACCGCAAGTGCGGTTTGACCGTCGAGAGACGCGGCTGCAATGTCTATCAATTGCTCAATGACGTAGTCTTCCTGATCGTCTTCCGGGAAATGGAACGGAGCTTATGAGGCTGCCTGCAATGACGGTCTTTCATATCTTGTCTTATCGCTATTGCGCTCGGAGTGGAATGCGTGGGTGCTAGTAATGGGTGCAGATAACGTCATTGCGAAGACTATTGGAGACTTCTACAGCTTCGCGACAGAAGGAAGGAAGCAGGCTTTATTCGTCGGAGAGTTGTCGCTCGACGGAAGGAATAGTCGGATATTGACTTTGGTGCTATCTTTAGCCAATGATAAGGATGGGGTGATACGACGATACACGTTCGCTCTCTTGTGTCAAAAGAGGACCGGTGTCGTCAATGGCAGACCAGTACGTAGCCACGTTGCTATGTTTTCCTGTCTTTCTCATCCTTAATGACAGCCGCATCTTCAAGTGTCATGTCCATCACAAATCAAGGACCGATTTCAAAAGATGATTAAACCGCGATATCAGAGTAATTCCACATTTTAGCTACAGTGGACTGGCGAGTTCTTACGTCAAGGTGCATACTATTGATCTTTCTCATAGCATCTTATGCACTATAGTTCGAGCGAAGCAAGGGCACTTTCGTACGACAGCACATCAACGCTGCTCAAGTTTGTCCACTGTGAGCGACACTGCTGTGCTTTGTTACCTTATATTGATACTGGTTGTAAGTCAAACGGGACTCGAGAACGGCTTGCGTATGCTCTTCTGACTTATCTTGACGATGGTTGTCATGCCTGGTGTCTATCCAGTCACCAAGTCTTTGTTTCATAACTCAGACCTCGCCATAACGACGAGATGACGAGCAGCGCAAATTGAGCTTTTTACGTGCATGGATCTCTCTTTTAGATGGAGACTGAACACCCAAATTCAAATTGTGCCGATGTTCGGGCTATGGTGTCGCTTTCTGCATCATGGGCGCCAGTTCTCACTTGACTCGTGTTTGATTGGTACTCTGTGAAGTCCAACACGTTCTGTGCATGCTTCGTCAGGATAAGACGATCTTTGAGCAACCCAGAGTTACCAGATGATGTCTCTCACCTAATTGCCTCAGGATCAATTATCATTCCAGCAGCAGTGGCACTGTTGTCCATCCCCACGCTGGTAGCAATGTCACCCAAGGCGAATGAGACTTAGGCTCGTCTAAGGAGAATTGTGACGCAACTAGTTATGTGGCTGGATGACAACGAGGCGTGCTGCGAGAGGTTGCGAGAGGAGTTGGGGACATCACCGCACATTTATCATAATCTTTCGGTGGATGAGCTCTAATCTTCTTGTTAGTCGTCTGTGGCTTTGACATTCGACATACCTATCGCATTGGTCAAAGCCCGATGTCCATACTGAATGTCAGTCGTTCGTGATTCGACCGGAATCGTTATCAGGAATCGGAAGCGAGGATTACAAATCCCTTGTGAATGGATCAATCAATCGGGCGAATGTCCGTAAACGAGCATTCTAATATTCCAATTACAAGGTCGCTTATCGGTGATCAGAGTAGATGACGGCTGTCGTCATTAATAACCTGCGTCTGCATGCGTTCAGCTTGATTGTGTTTGGTTCATATGCAGGCTTTGCCCCAGTCTCACGTCCCTTATATTTGAACACCCACCCCGTTCAAAACAAAGCAGAGCCCATCATTACGTTCCCGCTGTTGCTGTTCGTCAACCGTTTTTGACGCATCTCCCGCTTTCACACTATCCAAAATGATAGTCAACATGCGCTTCGTGCGACTCGGAAAACCCCGAAAAAAACTTCAACTCGTACGATGAGATCCACAAAAGGGCCCGTCTTTTAACTAGGGACGTTCATGCTATCAAGATTTCGTAGTATGGCCTCTCTATAGTGATCCCTATGGCCCAGACGCTCTCATGTGACAACACTTTTCTGATATATCTTCGCGAGCTCTACGGTGCTACCCATACCAACGAATCAATGTCTTTCCCAAGTTGTATTTGTTACTGTCATAGTGAAAGCGTTTATTTGTTGAATGTAAATATCCGTCCAATCGCTGATCACATTTCGGCATTTTTTTTACAAGTAAGATATCTGTTCGGATACAGAAGTAGGCTAACTAATTGTATTCAGGATTTAGGTGTTTTACCCGCCTTTTGGTTCTCGCCAGGCGCATGATATGTTTCAGATGCTGAACCACCAGTCAGAGAGGTGATGTGCGGGAGGGTTTTTCAGTACCGGAAGGAAGGACAGCCGATCTTGCCGTCGAGCAGAAACACGGCTCATGCTTTTCTGATGTTGGAATCACGACGCTAACCTTGCAATCGATTGCAATGTACTTCATATCTAAGGACCGTAACGAACTAAACTGCGGAAGTTACTTGGCTACTCCCTAACACAGGAAGAGCGTTGTATTCGGACCACTTGAGCCACCATCTCACAAAGCAGGCTGCGCTCTATGATTTCCTTGTTCCCGTCACTGTTGACGCATCTTCTGTGTCCCCTTAAAGCTCACGGACCGCGACTAGACCTTTAAGTCCCTTGGCGATGTCTTGATTATCTTGCCGCTTCATCAAATTCATGATGGTTGACTCCAGCCTCCTCCACATGCGACTGCCGAAGGTTCCCGTCTTTCGAGTAGGTTCATAGCCACCTGCATTTTTTAGGTTTTTCCATCCATGATGTTCGAACTGAATTCAATATCTACACAGGTGCCCTTTGTTGCTTAAATACCGGAATACACACGCAAAGTTCGTGTTTTCCATAACCCCGGCGGTGCTGCGGTTCTTCTTCTTGTCGTCGACATTTATGGCAAACCTTTCGCTCGACAATACGCTCGGTGCATTCTCTATTGGTGCTACGTTAGCTAACATGTAAGTAAGCTTCGGTTCTGCGCCTCACGCTTAAATTAATGGGCTATGTATCGGTTCCGGACAGTCTGTTTGGTATAACCACCCTGCAATCTGCATTGTATTACAAAAACTACCCGAACGACGGACGGTTCTATAAAGCCTCGGTGCATGCGCTCAGCATTTAGCTCAAAAGACGTGATACTGATGCTAGATGACTGCGAGCAGGTGGGGATTATCTGGTAGGTTTTCTTGAGTCGAGAGTTTTATTAAAATAATTGAAAACCTACATAGGATCCTTGATACATTAGACGTCGCGGTTACTGCTCATGCTTCATATTTCTATGCTATCAAGAACTTCGGAAATATTAAAGCTCTTACTGAACACGACATTGTTTGGTACGTTCCGTTTGATCGGATAGTTTCCATTCGGCACTAAATTTTCTATTTCGCGCAGGAGCTTTAAGGTTTGCGTCGAATATGCTCAAAGCGAACATGATATCTAATTCCCACATCTAATAGCTGCATATATTGATTTGTGTATGTACTTCATCATTCGCATGCATTCACCTCGAGCGTCACCTTGAATCTTCATCAGGTCGTCGTCCGAGTCTTTGTTCAAACGTGAGCATTTCACACTTTCCCCATTTCGCAGCCGACTTTGAACATGGGTTCTATGCAGGGTATATGCTCTACGCTTATGGAAACGTGAGTTTTCGTTTATTTATGCGTAGTCCTTCTCATACCCGTATGATTAGTCGGACAATACATTCATCAATCCATACTATGGTCAATTGTACGTGGAATATGTGCTACTGTGTCTCTTTCAATAACCACTTTCCTTGCTTACTCAGATCCTCGTCACTACTAGCAATGCCGGTGCGAGAAGTCTGCTTGCTCCAAGTCTAAACCGTGTACTAATAAACACAACCCCGGGCCAGCTTGCGGTATATGTAAGTCTCCACTACCCTCCGCCGCTCGTAACATATCATTGATAATTCATTTATTAGATCTTATCAAATCTGTGCAGGAACTCGGGCCTATCACGCTACTCAATTATCATTGACAGTGATACTCTTAACAGCTATTCGGTCTCCAACTTCTCCGAAACACCGACCATCAAGGTACATGTGCATGCGAATATCATTTCGAATCCACTGTTTTATTCCAACGTAGAGCGCTCTCATCTCTCTGTTCTCAACCAGCATAGCGGCCGAATTTATATTATCTATTGCCATGTGCTACTGTCTGAATAAAGGCAGAACCACTTCGGCTTTTCCCAAGTCAGTTTATCTGTTCTGTTGTTTTCTGCTCATTAAAGCGTTGTTCAATACCCACACAGCACCATCACGACACTTATCATGTTGATGCGGATGATTCTGATATCAGGGCTCGCTACAAGGTTGGTGAAATTACCTTCTGGTTTCTTTTGCACGGCCTCACGCAAGCATACTTAGCGTCTACTCGATAGTCATTCTGATTACGGTATGCAGAATCGTTACTGAGCTATCTCACGGCTCGGTCAGAGCGAACGTAACGCTAATAACTCACGCCATAGTTTCTCCTCTGGCCAGACACTCTCATATTCCTCGGTGTTGATTGTTTACAGCCCAAACGTCAGTCATTTTAACTCAGACTCTTCGTGTTGACCCTAATCTTCATTGACAGTGTTCATCAATTCCTTGTTAGCTATGTATGCACCGCGCTCACAACACTTATGGACACTCACTCAGGATAATAGGCTCAATGCATGGAAAGCGTTTCGAAATATCGAGAATTCTTTCCGACTACGAACGATTAACTCTACTGGATTGACGTCTGAGGGTGTGCGTGACCACCGCGGGAAGGATAAGGTATGTTTCTAGATTCCAAATATGTGTTCCGTACAAGTGATATCAACAACCTCCTTAGCAGGCTATTATTGTATCGATGGAGATTGAGTCGGAAACTGTTTGATTTCCACTTATTTATCTCAGTGTATTTATGCCAGTTATCTTCCTATCCCGAGCACTAGAGAGACTAACGTAAGCCCACGATTAGACCATGGTATCGTTCGGTGTTTGCTATTATCATATGCTATCTTTATGACAAACACGCTGCGAGAAGGGTAGAATACCCCATTCTAGAAAAGGTAACAGGGCGCTTACTCCTAGATATTGCACTGGTAGGGGTTAGGACGGGCATATGGGCACTTCTCGACTATTTCGCAGCGTCTCTTCTCCGGGTCAAAGGTCTGTCTAGTCGACGAAAGCTCTCGGTAGTCGCAGACACCGCAAACGAAGATAGCCTTGATAGCGAAAGGAGATGAATAATCGACGCAAAGGATGTCTGTCATAACACTGAATCCCGCGGTACGCGTGACTGCCGTTTAAATCTCCAGGTCTTTCGGAAGCAAGCTCCTCGTCATTGGTACAAATTTTTCGCGAGTCCAAAGCCCGCCGGAAGTGATTGTCCTTTATCTGAATTTATACTCAGCCTAGCAAACCCATGCACTCGAAACCCATTCATCTGGGAACAGAGCTGGTAGCAGCCAGAACAAGGCACTAGAAACGAGACTTGTAGATCTGGTGCGTGATTTATCTGTCGCCTGGGTTATGTCTGGCCGAGCGTGAAGAAATGGTTCGCAACCTAACGGTGGGGAGAGGAAGGCGGGCTCTTCAGACCTCATCTATTGGCTAACGAGTTTGTCTATTCATGATAGCCTGATGGCATTAACCGTGGCCGCAGGCGGCAAGATTCGGGTTCGAATCCCGATCAGAAAATATCCGTCGCGGAATCAGATTTTTTGGTTATGATCATTTCTCTTCTTTTCGATATCAAGCAGTTCATCAGGAAGTTTTAATATTGTTCTTCGAAGGCTGCCGTCAGTCGAGGGCGGTAGGATGTAGCCTTTGGAAATAGGATTATGTGCAAATGTGTCATTGAAGCTGGGCCGGAAACCCTATCAGGCTCATGGTACGCAATCGGTGTATTCCTCAATTAATCATCCTGATTCTCGCAATCACCCGACTGATACCTCGTACCTGTTGTTGTTGTTGTTGCTCATCCCAGAGGCGAGCGAACTGAGAGAATTGCGACCCATTGTCCTCAACGTGGTAAGCCGCTCTGGTTGGGATCTGAGCGATGACGGGAGATCACTGTTTGGTGTTCATTTGTTGTGGTCTGGCGGTACGGGTGGGTTCTGGTCTTGTCCAGGTTCAGTGGGTTTGCCATTCAAAATTGGGTTAACGCGAAATCCAATAACCTTCCTCCTATTTTGGATCTCATATTCGGTAATGAAGTCGGTTATCCTACGGAAAACCAGCGGCTCTAACACCGTCTGTGGTAGCTCATGGGCTATTTGCATTGCCAGGTTCGATTCCCGGCCAGATGAATAATTAGTGTAGTTCGGGGACGCTCGTTGTTTTGTTTTAATATTTCTCGTTGACCCAGGTGCTGTTTGATATTGGGAAGTGGTCGCCGGGCTAGGTTGCTTATTGGAGAGAAGTATAGTGTGTAGTAAGCACTTATCTGGGTTTGCCATTCAAATCGCGTTAACGCAAAGTCTAATAAAATTCTTTGTATTATCACCATGGGGTCCTATTGATTGTGGCGACCTATATAAGGGGTGCCGGTGATAACCAGAATGTTCAAGGTGGTACAGTAGAAGACCTTAAATTACAGATACGTCAGTGTCTGGAAAACTGGTGGTTCTACCATCGTCTCTGGTAGTACAGGGGCTAATACACGCCCCGGAAATGGACTTTGTTGGGTTCGACTGCTAGCCAGAGGATAAATAATGATTCGTTGGTTTTTGTCTTATCGATGTTCAATATTTAACGTTGATCCTGGTCTCTGGGCGGTGCCATTTGATTTTGAGAAATCTGCCGGCAGCCTTGGGAGTGGGCACTGTACGATGTTCCTTGATAGCCTAGCAGTTATCCCACTGTCGTCTCTTTTTGTTAAATTCTGTTAGCGTAACGAAAAGGATCAACCTAGATGTTGGGAGAAGTGCGGCGGGGCTCGTTTTATTCGTGATACCAACTGATGTGACGCCTGGTAGTCTCATGGCCTGGCTGCAGGATTTGGGTTCGAACCCCGATCGGAATTGGATGAGATCCTGATGGGTAACACATTTTTTGATTGCCGTACACGTGGGAATTAGTAGTGTCTTTGCTGCGAGTTTACTCGTTGGAATAACCCGCATTCTCCGCTAGGTTATTCGGCGAGCGCTGGGGTGTCGTCTTTTTCTGTCCGAGTCTGGGTTCAGCTTTTTTTCTCTCGAAAGAGGTTTGGGGAGGGGGGGGGGGGGACAAACTTGGCATGTGCTCCCTGTAGCTTCTTTTTGTTGTGGCTTTGCTAGGGAAATCATCGTTCGTTTGTGAAAGGAATCCGAGTCTACGGTGGGAACGAGGCAACCAACATGAGTTGTATGATTATAACGAGGATCCGTAATATTCCGGATGTTGGTTATGACAATTTTCGAAGAGAGTATTCCATCTACTGATCTCTGATGGCCCAGTGGAGTCAGCGCGTAGCGATACATAATGGGTCCGATCCCCAATCAGAGGTTGTACTCTGAGCAATAGCGATCTTTTTGGAGAGATATTTTTGTCATTTTCCTCTTGAGCCGCAAGTCACTGTCAAGAATGAGAACGGTACGCCTGTATTGACACTCCGGAAGTAGCCCACCCTCCGGGCTTGATCAGGATCGAGTCCTGATTCAGAGATCAACTTGAAGTTTATGAAGTTTATAATAATTTGGCTTTTGTATGAGCTGGGACGCGTGTTTGTGATATGGTTTTGGAGGGAAATTTGTTTGCTACGTGTTTACGCGTACGATTTAAAGGCCTAAGCCTAAGATTGAGGCAACTCATATGTGATGGAAACTGCTTCGGTATCCACAATGTCTCAGTAAGTGTAAGAGCGGCACAAGTGCAAGGTCGTCCAGAACGGGAGCATTACAGAATCATAATGCGGCAACTAACGCATTTACACGAGGCGTTTCCTGGATCAGCGGGAGTGTAAGGGATGCAGGTGGCTCTAATTAGAACAGAGGGCATCAGTCTTAGTAGAGGCAGAAGATACGTGGCTCACGGTCACCCGCACCCGCAGAGAGCCTGGAAGCCTTCTTAACCGGGCGGAAACCTTCCGCTACCAATGAGAGAGTCCGCATCCGCCAAGAAGTGAACACGCGCTTCCATTACTGGCGCGTGTGCATTCCCCTACGAGTTCATTGGACTCGGAGATGGCCACCTTGGCAAGTACAATGTCATATGTAAGGCCGTTCGCGCCGTTGGGGCTCGAAGCAGAGAATATGCTGAGGATTGGCTCACAACAGAGAAAGGATGACGGTCCTAGGATATCGCACTGGTAGGGCACATGGGCAGTTCTCATCTGTCCTGCCTTCACGTCAAATGTCCGCAGACCTTCTTTGATGGTGCACCAGAGAAGATCCGTCCGTAAGGGTATCAACGCGTGACGAAGAATCGTAGACGTTGCAGAAGACTGAGTACTGGCGCTGAAGCTGGAGATGATGGACTTGAACCGGATGACTAACGCGCCGGCAACCACTCCGGATCACATGGTACGTGTAACTGCCTCTTTCGGCCGCTTCTCGTGGGGTCCTCATCACTCGCTTTTGCACATCCGGTGCTCAGTAGAAGTGAAGGGTTCTACCTCACTCTCTGTCCCACCCACTCGAATTACAGTTATCTGTTACCGGACAAAACAAGGCTTTGAAGAGGAGACCGTCACCTAGGGATCTGGTGTGTGACTTTGCTGTTGCTTTCTCTCCGGCTTTTCTCACTATAGCGATTAGCCAACGTACATTTCCGGCACTGCCTCACGTCCCGCGCACGCTTTACATATATGCGACTAAGCCGTCTACATTCGAGCCTCGATATCAATGATCTGTTGAAAACGCAGAGATTCAGCTATGTGATTTCGTGAATGCCCAACAGGACCCCGAGGACTGACTTCCTTCCCGTTTCTACCGCCGTGTATCTCGCCATCACGTGAAGCGTGAAGACCGAGAGGAATGAAGTCGCTATCCCATCGTTTTGCATCTATGCATTTCAGCACGTGGGCTGGACGAGACCCCGGTATGATTTTCTTCGGCTTGCTCTTATCGCATTTCCTTCTGAAATTTGCCCTTCCAGCGCCTGGAAGCCACGAGCAGAAGGGAGCAGGAGAGGATCCAACTCGACGTTCAAGCGAAGATGACCAGATGGAGTGGATGACACACTACACACTACGGTATGCAACGAATGACCTAAGTACCGTATTTCACGCACATGGTGCTATTCTCTCTTAGCATGCGTAATCGAGGCATGGATTCATACCAGATATTCCGCTGGCCATATAAACGCGAATTCCTTCCTTTCCGGCTGTATTCGAAATCTACTACTGAGAGCTCAGCCTTCTGTCCCGGCGTAAGTACTGTCTCCGGTAGATGAAGCTGATGGTACGCAATCGGCGTATTCCTCAATTGTCGTCCTGATCCTGTGACTGCTCTCGGCCGCTTCTTGTGGGGTCCTTCTCGTCACTGCTTTCGCGGGTCCGACGCTCAGCAGAAGGTAGCGGACAGAACCGGGCTTTGAAAAGGATACCGTCATCTACAGGCCATGAGCGATATGGCGCGTGCCTTTGCTTTCTCTCCGGTTTTTCTCACTTGAGCTATTAGCCTATCTGCATTCCCTCAGAGTCTCGTAAACCGAAATGCAGTGCACGCAATGAACTATTTTCAGATCACTCGTCCCAGTTCGACATCCCTTTTTCGGCGCACGGGTTTTTACTTCACGACCAGTGGACGCCTTGGACATATGCGACCAGGCGATCTACATACGAGCGTCAATGTCAATGAGTGCTTGAGCTGTTGAAAAGCGCAGAGCTACGTGATCCGGCGAACGCCCACCAGGACTCTGAGGGCTATAGGCTGCACGAGGGTTGATTCACAGCATGTATCTCGCCAGCGATATGCGCCCGTGGAGAAACGTCGTTTCACTTCGACGGCACACATTTCAGTTCGAGACCTGGATGAGAGCTTGGTATATGTCTGCTCTTATTGCGTGTCCTTTTGAAATCTGCCTGGTAGTCACAAGCAGGAGGGAGCGGACGAACACATTCGAGCGAAGATGATCGTCTGGCATGGATGACACTGGTACGTGACCGACGACCTAGGTACCGCGATTCATGCTCATGGTGCTGTTCTCTCGCAGAGGCTTGGATTCATGCCAGAGTGCCCGTTCGCGTCATAGGACTGTGATTGTGTAAGACCAAATGGGCTTCATATTCCTGGTGTTTTCTGACAATTCCTGACACATACGACCATAAAAGCAGCAAAATACGCATATGTTGATTTTTGTCCAATAAACGTCACCGTACCTTTGCCTTTTCCTTTGCCTTCTTTCACATTTCTAACTATATTCAACGATGACTACATCTCACTATAAATTTGCAATGAGCACTGTTTCCCGCTCGCTTAGGCCATCACAAAGATCTCAACGGCGTTATGAACCTCTTCATCTAGCCGGCAGCATGCTGTACCTATTTAACTTGCCCTTCCCGCTCAGCATCTCGTTAAAGGAACTCGGGGTTTTACTTCACCACCAGCGGACGCCTTACCGAGCCATTCAAGAATGCGAAGACCAACTTCCTCCTTCCCGTTCCTACCACAGCACCGCAAAGGAAAGAATGACTCGATGGCATGCGTTTCAGCCCATGGACCGAACGAGACCTTGGTGCGTTTTCTTTGGTCTGCTCTTATCGCATTTCCTTACGAAAATCACTTTTGGACAGCCAGCTTATGGAGGAAGGAGGGACCGGAAGAGTGGGTTGGCATGGATGATGCACTACGGTATGTGACAAACAACCCGGATACCGTAATACGTGTTCATATCCTGTAGCACACACAGAGATGCATTCAGATTTGTTCCTGCAGTGCGGGGCCGTTGGAAAAGCCCTGCTCGCAGGATTGCATCTTCTCGCATATAAATGCATACGTTTTCCTTTCTGACTGTATTCAAAGTCTACCCATGGCTTCGATCTCGGTACAAGGATCGCCGAACACTTGTCACAGGAAGATGAAGAGATTATTACCAGTTTGAAGAATCCATCAGTCTCCAATCTTTGGCGTCATCGCCCCCTCAAGTTCATGTCACAACTCAGGGTTTATCCCGTTTTCACGCAGATCATTTCAGGGCCAGTTCAACATCCCTTTGCCTTTGTCGGCACTCGTGTTTTTTTGCCTCACTTGGACATATGCGACCAGACACGCCGGGCGTCAATGACCGTCAATCTTTTTACATCGAACTGCGGCGTGAGGCGTCATGAAGATCGACTTCCTTCCTTCATCTTTCTACCGTCGCGAATACAGAAAGTTGATTGTCAACCGGGTATCTCGCCAGTGATATGCGCTCATAAAGACTGGGAAGAACGAAGTCGCTATCACGTCGTTTCGCTTACAGCACACGTTAGGAGTCCGTGGGATGGATGAAGGATCGGTCTATGTTTTCTTCGGTTTGCACTTGTTGCTTCTCCTTCTAAAATCTTCCCTTCCGTCGCCTGGCAGTCGGGAGCAGTCGGGAGCGGAGGGGCTGTTTAAGCGAAGATGGTCGGGCTGCACGGACAACATGTGGCGAACGAGTTAGATGCCGCAAGGCATGCTTATGGTTGCTGTTTTCTCACAGCACGCATAGTCGAGGCGTGGGTTCATACCGGGCGCTCCGCTTGCCGTATAAACACGTACTTCTTCCTTTCCGAGTGTATTCAAAGTCTATCGCTGTCCTTTGAGCTCGGCGTTCTGTCTCGGTGCGAGTATCGTCCCGGGCGGATGAAGCTGAGAGCCTGGAGGCCACCATGGTACGCCATCGGTGTAATCCTCAATTGTGTTCCTGATTCTCGGGCTACTTAGACGCCTACTCTAAAAATGGAACGGAATTTGTGGTGCTGCCATCATTCAGTTACGTTCTCATGTTATTGCCAGTGCGTTCAGAGTGGGTGAATGTAATGGGTGCAGGACCAGGTGACGTCATTGCTGCGAAGACCATCAACTTTCCACCTTCCGCTTGTCGCTCTACGGAAGGGAACAGACGGATATTGACGTTCTTGCTAAAAGATAAACATGGGCTGATACAGCATTTGTGTCCGCCCTCACATCGAAGGAAGATCAGTACGTACTGCACTTGCTAGTTTTCTCATCCTTGATGGCAGAAGTCCATTAGATGTAAGGGGTCCGTTTTAAGAAGATATTCATTCAAACGGCGGTATTCACACGTCGGGGATAGTGGGCTGGTACCTGCGAGTTCTTATGACAAGGTGCATGACATTGCTCTTTTTCATCCATGTGCTACAGTTCGAGTGCTCGATGTCGTCACTACTTGATTGCGATGTCTACTTGATGCCTACTTGATTGTGCTGTACTTCTTTCCCTTATACTGATATTTGTTGTAGATCGAAAAGCTCGGAAGCAGGGTCCTTAGCCTTGTGTTGGTTAGACGCCGCCCTTGCACACCCAGCTTGGAAGGTGAGTAAATTTCAAATACAAGCGTCAAGGTCAGCTTCCTCGCGAGGCTTTGGACTTCAAACAATGCCATGGAGCAATCAATGAATATCATCCGTGGTATATAAAGGTATCACACTATACTACTCCCTTTTCTTAACAAACCCACTCGCAACATGCCATTCAGCACTTTCGAACGCCCCCAGGTCCTTTATGCATGCTTCCAAGGCGATGGGTATGTATTCTTTCTGATATATTATCTACGCACCAGTCCTTACAACGGAATTTACAGGGAACCATCTGGGTTTGCATTTTATTCGTCTATGCTCTCAACTTCGACTAAATTTCTCAATAGTGGTGTCTCAGGCTCCGGCCCAGAGTACGTGGGCTCTACAACTGACCTAACAGCAAGATGACATGCAGCACATTACAGATGCACGTCTCATGCAAAACAAACCGTAACAAGCGGAGGTTCTGCGACAAATGGAGGGAGCCAAACACAGACGCCTCTGATCAAGAGTGAGGGACAGTCTCAAGGCTCTGAGGGAAACGGAGGAAGCGGAAGCAAGTAATGTTCAGTGGTAGGATTGAGCAGCATAATCAGAAACATAGCAGATTCAGCTTTTGTTCCTTCGGTCTGTATCATTGGCATTTTGATCTCAATAAGTATGTGACGACAGAGAGAGATGGCCAGAATAATCTCAGAACAGTCTGAGTCTGTTGCTTCGGGGAGGTCGATCACGACATCCAGGAACCCAACGGCGGATGGGAGAAGTATGATGTATGATAGGCCTTTCCGACCTCATTTATTGGCTAACGAGAAGTTATCTGCTCATGATAGTCTGATGGCATGAAGCAACGACGTTCGCCGTGAGGGATCATATGCGTGACTGATACTTTGCAAACAAACTTCTCGTAACTGCTCTAAATTTTCGTGAGCCTAGTGCTCGTCGGAGGCGATTGGGCTTTATCTGAATTTATACTCAGCCTAGCCAACCCATTGACTCAAATCCCATTTATATATCCTGGAGCAGAACAAGGCGCTGAAAACGAGAGCTGTAGATCTGGTGCGTGATTTTTCTATCGCTCGAGTTCTGTCGAGCCTCGGCGTGAAGAAATGGATTGTAACCTGCCCTTCAGACCTCATTCATTTACTAAAGAGTTGTCTATTCATGATAGTCTGATGGTATTAACCGCGACCGCAGGATTCGGGTTCGAGTCCTGATCAGAAAATAGCCGTCACGGCATCAAATTTTTGATTGTGATTATTTCTCTTCTTTTCGATATCAAGCAATTCGGTGGGAAATTTTGATATTGTGCTTCGAAAGCTGCCGTCAACTGAGCGTGGTAGGATGTAGCTTTTGGAAGTAGGATTAGGTGCATGTCCCGTGGTTGAAGCTGGGTGGGAAACCATCCCCAGGCCATCAGGCTCATGGTATGCAATCGGTGTATTCCTCAGTCCTCGTACCGATACCTCGTACCAGTGTTGTTGTTATTCATCCCAAAGGCGAGTGAGGCTTTGGGAGAGGCCTAGGGAGAATTGCGACCCACTGTCTTCAACATGGCAAGACACGCTGCGAAAACTTGGAATCTGACTGTTTGGTGCAAATTCGCTATGCTCTAATGGTACCAAGATGGGTTTTGGTCTTGTCTATCTGTCGGTTTGCCATTCAAATTCCGTTAACGCGAAGTCCGATAACCTTCCTGGTATTATCACGACGGGTCCTATTGTGGATCTCATACTCGGTTATCCGTTGTTCGAATAGTACAGAAAAATCAGCGGTTCCAACATCGTCTGTGGTAGCTCATAGGCTATTTGCGTTGCGCCACAGCTAGGTTCGATTCCTGGCCAGATAACTAAATAGTTCAGAGATAGACGTCGTTTTGTTTTAATATTTCTCGTTGACCCAGGTGCTGTTTGATATTGGGAAGTGGTCCCCGGGCTAGGTTGCTCACTAGAGAGAAGTATGGCATGCAGTAAGTATCTGGTTTGTCATTCAGATCGTGTTAACCCAAAGTCCAAATAATTCCGTCTGGATCATTAAGATGGGTCCTAAGCACCGTGAAGCCCCATGTTCGAACTTTGGGGTGCCGGCAATGATGAGGTCATTAGTGAAGTAGTAGAAGTAGATCGCAGACACGTCAGCATCGGGAAACTGGTGGTTCTACTATCGTCTCTGGTAGTATACGGGCTAATACATGCACCGAAAATGGACTTTGCTGGGTTAGACTCCTAGCCAGAGAAGGGATAGTGAACTTGTTTGTTTTTGTCTTATCGAAGTTTAATATTTAGCGTTGACCCTACCACCCGGCCGTAAAGATTGTTAGTTACTGGGAAGTCTTGGAGGGGAAGTTACTTACCGGAGAGAGGACAGGATCCTTCTAGATGGACTGTGATACATAGGATAAGCGAAATTAGGGCACTCTACCATGTTCCTGGATAGCCTAGTGGTTATCTCATGAGCTTCTGTCGGAACATCGGACCCTTTTTATTAGGCTCTTTTAGCGTCTAACGAAAAAGGATCAACTTCGATGAACCTAGCTATTGGGACTCGGGAGAGGAAATGCACGGGGCTCATTTTTTGGACGACGAGTGGTATTTTATTCGCGGTACTAACTGATGCGCCGCCTGGTGGTCTTATGGCCTGGCTGAAGGATTTGGGTTGGAGTCCCGATCAGAATTAAATGAATTCGTGAAGAGTAACTCGTTTTTGATTGTGGCACGTGTCGGGAATTAGTAGTGTGCCTTTTCTGTGAGTTTATCCGTTGGAAATGAACATGTGCTTGCTGTAGCTTCTTTTTGTGGCTTTGCTAGGGAAGTCATCGTTCGGATGTGAAAGAAATCTGAGTCTATATGGTAGGAACAATGCAACGTCAGTTGCACGGCGTTAACGAGGGTCCATTGTATTCCGTCCACTAATCTCTGATAGTCAAGCTGCGTCAGCGGGTATAAGACATGTAGTGGGTTCGAATCCCAATCAGAGATTATGCTTCTTGCAATATGTATCATTTTCGAGATATATTTTTGACATTATCCTCCTGAGCCGCAATTCATTGTCAAGAAAAGAATGGTAAGCCCATACTGACGCACTGGAAGTAGCTTAGTGGTATAAAACTCCTGGGATTGATCGGGTTCGAGTCCTGATTAAATTCAGAGATCAATTTCAAGTTTATAATAACTTAGCTTTTGTATGGGCTGAGACGCGCATGGTTTTGGAGTGAAATTTGTTGGTTCTGTGTGCGCGATTCAAAGGACTAAGATTGGGGTAATTCATATGCAATTATTTCAGTATCTGTACGCCCAATTTCAACAGAGGCGGACGTCCAAGGACGGTACAATACGGAAAGTCGCCACCAGCGCACTTGCGAGAAGCTTTTGCTGGATCACCGTCAGGCGAGGGTATGTATGGGATGCAGATGGCGATAATCAAGACAGAGAGCGTTAGTTTAGCAGGGAAAGAAAAAGATGCGACTCACTGTAACCCGCGCGCGCAGAGAGCCCGAAAGCCTCCTTAACTATGCGCCACCTCTACCACCCCCGCCTCCGGGTTCGGTGGTTGACTGTGAGAGCGTCCGCATCCTGCCTCCCGGTCACCGAGCTTCCATTACTGGCGCGTGCACGTTATATAATGAACACTGCTCCGCGTCCATCGCATCCTTGTTCAACATTCAGATCTCAGAACAGAAAATTCGCTGAGTGAACCACCATGGTGAAGCCGTTGGAACTGATTAAGCATGACGGCCGATAGGTTATCGCACTGGTACGCGTCAGGACGGGCGTCGGGCATATGGACAGTTTTAATCTCAGACCTCACTGTGTCCTGGCTCCACACCAGAAGCCCCGTGGGCCTTCTTTGATGGCGTACCAGAAAATATCTGTCTGTAAAGGTCATAAAGCGTGACGAAGAATCGCAGACTAGACACTGGAAGTCAAGGGGGGGTTGGAAATAAAATCCTGGACAGGGGGTAGGAGGGGAGGGAGGGAGGGGTAGCAATCTTAAACACGAAACCTCACCTATCATATATAGGCATTTTGGGAGGTCTGATGGGTGACATTGGCATGAAATAATAGCATCTACATCTAAAATGAAGATATTTAGCATCATACATACATTTGTAGTCTGTTTTTCACCTTACAAAAGTTACGATGTGTCACCACCCAAGTCCCTGAGAGATTCACGTGGTCGAAATGATTATGAGAGCATTACAAATCATACCTATTATGGATATATTACTACCCTATATGGTAGGAGGGGAGGGAGGGGGGGGTCCCCTCGGCCTTAAACATGAAAATGTAGGTCATGTCGGGGATTTTATTTCCAACCCCCCCTTGCTGGAAGTAACTCGAGGATTGGACATCGGATGTCGGATCATGTCGGCAGTGACGCAGATCACATGGTACGTGCAACTGCTTCTTTCGGCTGCTACCATCGATTCTCGTTGGTGCAGTTTTCTGACCCCTCTCACGCGAATGGCCTCTGAGTATGTCTGGCGATGCCACACATACGTCAAGGAGCCTTATTCTGATAGGCGGTGCGCATATTGTGCGAGCTATGTGGGGGATGTCCTAGTGGAAATAGGGGCTGCGTCGTTTCTCTGTGGCTTTGCTCCAAGCGTCGACACACGCTAGTGCTCCATAGCCTCTGTGAAATGGTGTGTTAAACTTCCTGGCATTACTATGGAGAGCTGTCACGAAGCCTCCATGTCGCAGTATCCCTCCCTGTGATGACGCTGGATTTCGCTGATATCATGGGTGATATCTCGTTTCTTCCCTTGCTACTGATAATACTATACTCCGTACTGTGGAAGGAACCCGTTATGCGGCATTGTTACGCCTGGTGGTCCTTCCCTTGCGTTTTCTATTTTATTTTTTATTTGCTTCATTCTGTGGAAGAACCCGGTTTATGGCATTGTTATGCCTGGTGTTCCTTCCCTGTCTTTTCTCCGCTATGCCTCGCACTGTGGAAGGAACCCGTTATTCTGCGTTGTTACGTCTGGTGGTCCTTCCCTTGCGGTTTTTGCAATATCTTCTCTTCTAAGCTCCGCGCTATGGAAGGAACCCGTTATTCGGCGTTGTTACGTCTGGTGGTCCTTACCTTGCGGCTTTTCTTTGTCACTATGTGGAAGGAACCGTCTCCTATCTTAATGGCACGACGAGATCAACCCTAGGGCTAAAGGTGCCATCATTCGCCTCTCCATGAAATGGAGTTTGTGGATCGCACACCCGTCACAAAAGCATAGCTCGTCGTACTAATCTCACATCGCACGTGTGACACCTGTTTTTATCCTTTCATATCCTTGCTGTCGAGGTCCTGCACTGGGCGGAACGTTATCGGCCCAAGCTCCCTCGAGAGTGGCGTTTATGTCGTGTCTGCAGGGTTGCCGTAGAGGACGAGGTGCATGCCCTCCTGTCTTGTACTATCGCTCCAGGTTTGATAGAGCTTCACCGAACGTTTGTTGCCGACACCCATGCTTTATGTCCCATTTTAAGCAACGCATGGGGATATCTTGCCGTCGATGACTGGTTGGCATGCCTCTTACAATTGCCAGTGTTGGAGGCTTGATTGGCACAATGTGTATCGTGTACTGGAGATATTCAGAACTACACCTGTATATATTCCTCCACAGAAGCTTTGGTCACATAGCTAATCGTAATAGTACATTTCTGCTGGACGTAGAACTCTTGTGAGGCCTGTTGTGAGAACGTTGAACCTTACACTCTTCCCTCGGTCCCTGTGGCAGTATCAAACCCGTGAGACGTTCCCAGCTCGCAACTGGTGAATATCACAGCGGCACGGTGCTGCTATGGTCTGTGACACGTTTCGTGGCGGCACAGAACCCCGGTGTTCCTTATTGGGACCGCATACCGGTTTTCTAAACTCTAAACTCTTTGGTCCTTCTCGCAATCTTCTCGTCGCTACTTCTACGCCTACGCCCGAGTTTATGCTCAGCCTCGCCAAATTATGCACCCGAATCGCAGTTTATCTGGAGAAAAGTTCTGGTAGGAGACACAGAATTCTGAACAAGACGTTGGAAACGAGTTCTACAGGCCATGAGCGATCTGGTGCGTGATTTTGCTACTGCTTTCTTTCGTTTTTCTCACTATAACGATTAGCCAACCTACCTTTCCTCAGAACCTTGTAAATCTCTCAATGTCGACATGCGGCGCTCACGGTGAACCCTTTGCATATTGTCCGTCTTGGTTCGACATCTCTTTTTCGGCGCATGGGTTTTTGCTTCACGACCAGCGGAAGCTGTACGCATAGTTTACTAGACCATCTACGTTCGAAATTCGATATCAAGAGCCGAAAGGTGCAGCACTTTGTGACTCTGAACGCTGCATCAGGACTCTGAGGGCTATGGGCTGCGCCCTGAGGCCCAGTCAAAAGTCCGTCGAGCCGGTTTGAGCCAAATCGAGCTGCAGAAATTACCATATAGCGTGGTCGACCCGGATCAAGCGGCGTCATACAAGAAGGCTTTGAACTCCAAACTTTCGCCTCTTCCATTAGCACATCCAAGGATTACCGGAGTAGAATTTCTCTGAATCCGATGGTTGACTGAAACGCGCCGAATATCGTGAGCCCAAATTGGCAACTTGAACTTAAACTTAAAGTCAACAGTTCCGTCCACGTGCATGTTATCCAGTGACGTGATTAACGCCTCTCTCTTTTCTACCACCACCATACCCGTCGTGTTCAAGCTTCTTCGCCGTCCTCGTTGTCGCTCTACACCCAGTCCCTGTATTATCGCGGGATGTGGCTTCATACTTGCTTTCGTAGCCTCTTACTGTTAGTCTCTCACTGGGCAGCACATGCGAAGACCTGCAGATACGATGCTACAGACTGAAACTGCCGCGCAAGGTGGATATATGCGCCTTGTTTGGACACCCGCATTAGCAATACGTCCTCAGAAGACTGGTTTGAGCTGCAGGATATCTGGATATCTTTGAGGTACGTCTCATTGGGCCCTTGTATGTTTTCTCTTTTCATATTTAGCATGTGTACAGTCGCTCCATAAGCCGTCTAGGCATCGCTATGGGTGTGGCCATGGTATGTTCTATTCCATATATGCGTGTATTTCTGAGCTCGCTAAGCCAAATCTTATACAGGTCTCGCTTGCCATCATTCCAGCTGGCTTCGACTTCGTGAGTAGCCCTTGAATCATCTTTTCCGTCATTGTAGACTGATTTAACATTTTCTAGTGCAGTCTATTTCGATACATTTATCTTCACGTTGCGAAATGCGGTTGGGGTATCCGAGCAGGACAGGGCTAGCCGTGGGCAGAACGGAAAGGGTTATGCTACTTAGCATATGTAGTAGTGATGTGGTTCTATACATATTAATAGCAAAGAAATTGAGCCCTACGAAGCCTAACAGAACCCTATGGTAATGACATACCGAGCTCGAAACAGCTCGATTTGAGCTGGTAAACGGTTCACATTTCGAAGCCACAGCAGGCGGAATAGAGCCCCAGCAATCATTCCCCTGGGCTTGATTTGGCTCAGTGTGGCTCGAACGACTTTTCACTGGGCCTGAGGACCGACTTCCATCCTGTTTCTACCACAGCACTGCTTGCGAATAAACAGAGTTGATCCGCAGCCACGTATCTCGCCAGCGATATGCGCCAGTGCAGACAATGTCGTTTCACTTCGACTGCACACGTTTCAGTTCGAGAGCTGGATGAGAGCTCGGTATGAATTTTCTTCGGCCTGCTCTTGTTGAATTTTCTCATAGAATCTGCTCTTCCAGCGCTGGGTTGTCATGAGCAGGAGGGAGCGGAAGAGTATGAAACCCACGAAGACGATAAGGTGGCATGGATGACGCTGCCTTTGCCGTTGCCTTCTCTCACTTTCTGCTATAACCCATATTTTACTCGAAAGCAGCAACGAGCATCGATCACACCATTTCCCGCTCGCCTAGGCCACCAGTAAGATCTCAACGACGCTATGAACTGCTTCATTGTCATCGTGCTGCACCCATATCACTTGTCCTCGTACCCGGGTATTCGCTTCATGACCTCTGCACGGTCTTGGATATGACTAGACGGACTGACGATTGCCTTCTTGACCAGTTACCAGATGGATCCGGTGACCGCCAACCAGGAGGACCATAGACGGACGGACAGACAGACTTCCAGTTTCTACCCCTAGGCCTGCATCGTGAAGACTGGGCAGAATGAAATTGCTATCAAGTTATTACACACCGTGGACTCTGCAAAATTCGGTATGTGTTTCAGCCCCGTGGCTCGGTACGTGTTTTCTTCATCCCGCTCCTCGCATCTTTTTCTCAAAACCATCCCTTCCAGCTCTACTGCCGAAGGGAGCAGGGAGTAGTATTCGGATGCCTATACAAGCGCTGCTCAAGCTCGGTGTTATGTGCTACTGTCCAATGTGGTGTGTGACTTTGCCATTGCTCTCTCGCTTTTCTCGCTGGCCGACACGTTTCAGAGTTTCACAAATCCCTCAAGCGCGTGGTGAACCCTTTCCAGCCCATCATCTGTCTCGGTTCAAGCATCCATTTTTCGGCACTCGGGTTTTTAGCGAAAGCCTTAGACATATGTGACCAGACCATCTACGTCCGAGCTCAATATCAATGAGCCGTTGAAAAGCGCAGAGCTATGTAATTCCGTGAACGCTCGCCAGGACACCGAGGGTCACGGACTGTCGCACCCTGATGGCTATGTTTTCTACAAAACATCGCACTGGCGAATGCGGAGAAGTCATTTTCTCTTCAATGATATGCGCGCGAACATTGGGCAGAATGAAGTTGCTTCGTTGCGCATGCACATGTTTCAACCCGTATGCTGCTCGGTGTGTGTTTTCTTCTGCCCATTTTTCTTGCCTTCACTTATAAAATCGCCTTCAAGCTTCATCGGCTCTTCCAACTCTGAAGTCGCCTGACCGCTGGATTATGCTCACGAGCGGAAGAGCTGCGGGAGAGACGTCAAGCTGACATCCGAACGAAGATGATTCGAATTCGGGTGGCATGCATGACATACTATGGTATGTGACGAACGAGTTAGATACCGCAATTTATGCTCATTATGCTACTAGTATCTCGCAGCACTCGTAGTCGAGGCATAGATTCATACTAGGTGCTCCGTTGGCGGTGTACACGCGTACATCCTTTTCGGTTGTATTCAAAGTCCGGAGCTCAGCTCTCTGTCCCGGTGCAGGTATCGTTTCGGGCGTCTGAAGCCGAGAGGGAGATCATTCCTAGGTCATCACGGTACGCAATCAGTGTATACTCCGATTTTTGCCCTGATTATTGGACTACTTTAGACGCCTACTCTATAAATGGAACGGAGCTTACGAGGCTGCCTTCGGTGATGTTCTCGTGTTATCGCCAGTGCACTCAGAGTGGATGAACGTAATGGGTGCGGGCGGCGTCATTGCTGCGAAGACTATCAAATTCGCTTCTGGTCGCTTGATGGAAGGGAACAGACGGATATTGAATTTCGTGCTAACTTTCGCCGAGGATGAGACGGGATGATACAGCGTCGTACCTTCGCTCCCGTATGTCGAAGGCGAATCATCATCATCAATAGCAGACCAGTGCGTAGCCACGTTGCTGCGTTTCCAACTTTCCTCATTCTTAATTCAGCGCTCTAGCGATGTGGTTCTTACGACAAGGTGCATGCCATTACAACTTATAAGGTATATCGTACACGTCACGGAGGAAATACCTGGATTCATCCATAACCAAAAGGCACTCGAGAGTGGCTTCATCAGCCCTATGTTAATAATGATCGTTACGCCCAGCATCTATCCAGCTACCAAGTCTTTATTCTGTCACTCAGACTTCCTTCATAACCTCTGGTGCGACAGTCACCTCGGCCCGCATAAGGCGACGAGCTGAGTCTTGGAATTCACGGATGCCAGGGCGACATAAAAATTGAAATGGGCGCGAGGTTTTCCCACTCGAGTCATGTCTTTGGCCAACTCACAGTCAACGCCTCCCCCGGATTGATCATCAACAGCCTCGTTGCTATTCATCCTTTCCTTACGCCGGTGACCAGAGACTCTGGGACAGTCGGGGGATAATTGTGACCCGCGTGGTTGGATGCAAACGAGGAAGGAATCTGGCTAACGAGGGGATATCACTGACACCATCTCGTGTCTTACGGACCGTCTCTAGGGAAAGATGCAGTGATGGTGGGATGCAAAATTGCTGCTACTTCTGAGATTCTAGGACTATGGTAATGTAGCATGATCAGGTAAGCATTGTAGCTTCCTGGAACGTGTGAAATCCCTAACCCTGGATATTGTGAATCCCTCGTATGCAGGCAGTCCTGTTATCTGGTCTTTTTACATCGAATGTACCTCGTAAACCCAGTAGTTTTCGGACCAATACCATCACCCCACATCAATGATGAACCTGCAGCTATCAGAATAGCCAGTGTATCGACCTGCCGCAAAGTCTGCACGAGCCCTTCAACCGTGAACACGAACAATAGCCTTTCATTGTCCATATACTGGGTGCGGGTGATCATTCATTGTAAACTCGATGATCCAGAGGCATTACTGCAACTATTCGATGGTCGGCCGATCAGCGAGCATTTATCCAGAGGAAAGGTGTTCATCATCGTCGCGGATGCCTCAGCATCAGCCAATGGACTGCTCGCCGCCCTACTGACCACCCGCCATATATTATCCCATATCTCTCTGCCAAAGTGCGCCTATGTGTCCACTCCGATATTGTCCTCAGCGTTACTTTCAGACCGTGAGCGCTCCGTTATGTCACCTTCCTCATCTTCTTCGTCTGATACTCCCTCTTTGGTGGCGTCTATCTTGACTGTAGCGCCTATATCTGTGCCCATCCTCGTCTGATTCTGAAGAAGAGGACGAAGGTGAGAGGTAACCGAGTTTCAAGTTGCATACTGAGAGCCCCGGCAATGTGCCGAGAAATTGTACTGATGGCACAGGCTATGAATATCGGCATAGAGAAAACGCTGACCCGGGGGTCGGAGAGAGGGCGCATCGAGTACGATGACAAAGAAAATAGATGGCCTTGCCAGGACCATGTATTGGATATCCACACGAAATAGCCAGCACGGCAAGCACCAGCGACGGGCAGGGTTCGTCGCTGTTTCATTGTACCATGATCTCGTCAGCTAACATCTTACTTTGTATCATATCGTTCGACTTTTTATGAGCTATTTTCGTAGGAGCCAACATGAGCGTGACGGTCCGGATTTTCTTCTGGAATTTTAGGTACTTCGTGTTGAATGCGCCAAAATGAGGTATCAGCGATGTCGTTTGCCTCTCGATAATCCGCGCGTGCTTCGCAGGTATCTGAAAAAGCTCAGTACTGTGCATACTGCTCATCCTGGACCTGAGAAGACCCCTGCATTGAGGAAGGGGGAATTTTTTCATGTTGAGGACATCAAACTTAGAATTTGTTCATTTCCTCAGGAAAATATGTTGATCTCAATCGACTTGAAATCGGAAAATATCATCCTTTTTGAATTGTATCAAATTTAACACTTTCTTCCATGATTATTCGAGTCGACAAAGAAATTTTTGAGTCCGGAATCACCTTTCGCAAATCCTCCCAAATTCATGTTCGTAACCAATGGGACGATGAATAGCTGTAGCAAGTCCATGGCTGGTCGTCAGCCTAAGGTACGGATTGTAGACGAGACCGACTGTATTTTGACTGCATCATTATAATTATTCTTCGCCAGCCCTGATGTTTGGTTGTTTGGTTCAGTGGCTGCACGAGCGGTAACGGATCTAACGGTTATCCGCCCTCTGTTTGTCCTATGATCATGACGTATGCAGGGCAATGATACAGAGAGTACGGCGAAAGTGCATAAAATGCTCTCATCTTGCACTTCTCTCCTCACAACCACGACCACCTGTTCTAGCTTTGACTTTTCTTCTCGTCAATGTTGCCGAATTGTACAACTACACCATTTCTTTTGCAACTGCGGGATTACTACATGACACGTGGCGCCTTCGCGCCGGCCGAAGCCGTAGTACGTCGCGACTGATCGGAGTTTTGACTCCCTTCGCTCCTTCGTCTCTGACTCGTCTTTAAACCTTGGCTAGGCTAATGTTACATTATCGGAACTCATCGAAGAATTGCGACGGGTTGAATTGGAGTTAGCAGAACTGCTGGGGATTCCTGGGGGCGGTGCCCAAGTCGACTCAGTTGCAGTTCGCCTTGCAGTCAAGGAGAAGTTCTCCCATGCTCGAGATGGTTACCTGGACACACTTCAAAAACTCCATATCCTCCGCCTTCAGTATTGGTCTGCTCAGCGGAGGGTTCCAATCAAACTGGGAGCGTGTCACTTCTGTCCAGGTGTACGTCATAGCCTCAGTGATTGTGTTTGATGTTATGTAATTGGTTGCATTTTAGCTCCCATACCGTGTCAACGCTTCTCGATTCCACGCTGTCCTCATCGGTATCGATGCATATCCTTCCTATTGAACGGTTGTATCTCAGATGCACTGTTGATGGAGAAGTACCTGACTAAGGACCTTGGTGTTCCCAAAGAACACATCGAGGTACTGATCGGACCCAAGGAGCATGCATCCACTAGAGATCAGAAGTACCCCACCTACGCTAACATCATCAGCGCCCTTCTTGGCCTCATTAATGACTCCGAGATCGCGTACGGCGACAACATCGTCATTTACTTCGCAGGACATGGCTCATACTATCCACCGGAGGAAGATGGCGACGAATATATAGAAGCACTGTGTCCCATCGATCGCGATATTCTGGATGCCAACGGTGCCAATCCCGTTCCCGACATCAGTGATCGTGAATTCAATACCATCCTACGTCTGATATCTCAGGCAAAGGGACCTCACATCACCGTCATTCTTGATTGTTGTCACTCGGGTGGGGCCAGCAGAGGTATACCAGAGCCGGGAACGCGCACTACTCCCCCAACGAGGCGCGCTACGCGCCAGGAAATGCTCCTCGCTGGCGACAAACAGCTGAGGGGTTATCCTGGCTATCGCTCCATTTTAGTTGATTGGCACCCGGATATGGCCTCTCACGTTCTCTTGGCAGCCTGTATGGACTGTCAGTTTGCAAAGGCGAAGAAGGTCCAAAGGGAAGCCGGTACGACGGGGTACATTGGGATTTTCACGGATTCGCTTGTGCGTGCTCTCCGGTCCGGCTGCTGGAAGAAAGAAACGACATACGTCGATCTCATTCGTTGTTTGGGCCAGGTGTCGTCTCACCAGACGCCAGTCGTTGCTGGAGAAAGCATGTATGAGCGTCTCTTCTATCAGGAATAAAGTATTGTGAGCCATTTGCGTTCGTTCTTGCCTTGGCCCTTCTGAATCGTATATAGATCGACGTGTACAAGATGTATGTTACGAAGAATGTTCCAATTGTATTCATATCGCCTTATTTCAGCTTATTGTCTTTATGAGCGGTGTGAACCTCAACGTGTTTATTCTTCAGAGCTCGGCACTGTTTCAAATAGCTCATGTAACAGGGCACATAGTATTTGCGTGGTAGTATGGATAGAGTTGAGTATTAAGGATAGGTCTAGAGCGACTTGCTTTTATAATAAATCATTATCAGCCTTTTCTTTGGAATGCGTCATGAGAGGAACAGGCGATTGGAAGGTCGGTTGGTTAATTCTGCTACGGCATATAATTACTTCAACTTCGATAGGCTTTCATACTGAGGGCCTGTTCGTACCGTTTAGACTGCCAGATGCTCCTGGTATGGCTAAGAGAATCAATCACAGGCATCACAGGATCGGGATGATTCGTACGGATGAGGATGATGTCCGAATGACGTCTAATGCTGCCACCGACATCACCGAAGGCTGTCCCCCGCCTGTCCCGCTCATTGACCGACACAATGGCGGCAATATTCTTCCAAATTTGTGTTGGTCTGTCTAGGCATTCAATATCATTCACAAGAATGCCTACATTTTCTAGTCTTGCTGTAGTCGTTGCGCATAGTGGGCGGGAGGGCGGGAAGAGCGAGCTCAGCATCGGTGCCAGGATGTAGACGTAATCGGCCAGTTTAATTTTGGTTGTGGAACGGATCTAGCCGGATATCTCGAATCACGCAACCGCTGAGGTACACCGTATGTGGCTTGAAAAAGCGTCTCATTCTGTTTTTAAATAATAGACAGCCATGGTGATCCTACTTAACATCCACTTGGAACGCTCGTATCGTCCACATAATTTGTTGCGTTCGCGTCCAAGCCACGACTGACAAAATGTTCCATAGGATACAATTATCAGCTCCATCGTATTGGTTCTAATCGACTTGTATCCACGTCGTCTCGAGCATTTGGTGCTGTCGGTATACTCATCAGCTAGTTAACATGGGATGGTCACACGTAGGACTACATGCCTGGAGGGAAGCGCATCAATGAAGAGATGGAGTCGAACGATATTGCCTTCCGGGTCTGAAGGATCCTGCACCACTTTTGCAGAGAACCCGCGCGCTTGGACGAGCGCGACGTAGACGTTATGGTGGATATTTGCCCATACTATCTGGACGATGGTCATTGAGCGAAAGATGTCACTGAGAGATAAGCGGGAAGCGTACCGTGGACTTCGTGTGCAAAGTCTGGATAGAAGCGGATGCATCGGTAGAGTACGAGTGTGTTCGGATGCCGGTGGGATTGTTGAATACCCATGTTGCTAGAGCGTAGTCTGGCACGGCAGAGTCTCTGTGTTCGGTCCATCTGGGGTCTGGGGTCTATCAGCCGCTATGGGGATATCGAGAAGAGGAAGACACGTACTCTGCCATAGCATCTGAGCAGACTGTAGAGCATGATTATTTAGACTAGGGTAGTAGAAGGAGAAAGGCTGGCTACTTTCGCCCATTCTGGCGGCTTCGATTGTTTGTAGGCATCGCCCCGTCCCGCCACCGGTGAGGTGGTTAGTGATTCCATGCGTGAATTCGTGTATGACGATAGCGCTTTGGAGCGCTCCATCGCGCCGAGGGGTCGTCACAGTCCATATGTACACCCTACAATCCACGAAAATGGCGTCTGGATCCGACTGGGCTCAATGGGAGAAGATAGGTTCGGCTGCCCGCTTTGTTTGGGCTGGGACTTTGGATTGTGACCTAGTTTCTCGTGATACCCGACTTAGGGAAATTGTCTGTGACCAGGTAGCCAAGTGGTATCGTGTTGGTGCTGGGTTCGAGTCCCGACCAGAGATGCACAGTGATAGAGTTGTTTTGTCGCGCCGCGAATTTTGACTTAATAGCGATGTTATTTTGTTCGTACCCGGATCCTGCTACGAAATCACCGAATTAGCGTAAAGATTAAGTAGCGAGCTGGGAAATCCAGGAAACTGTATCGTTGACTTCAAGTATAGGTTCTTTGAGCTCGACCATATTTTGTTTTCACGATGTCAGAGGGAAATTTCATTAGACGAGTAACTACACGTGTACAATGGTGAAGTCAAAAGCCTACAATTGTATGATGTCCAGTGAGAATCGTGACCGAATCAGTGCTAAACAGATGACATCAGTTTTGGCTGGGTGAGAAGAATGATACGACTCACCGTCTCCCATACCCGCGTAGAACTGAATATGCGCCTCTCTGCGTTGAAGTAGCGGAAGTTCAGAGGAACTCCTGCAGTGTGCGCCATTACCTCCCGCTTGCGAGCCAGCGACAGAGAACGCCATCGTAGCCTGAACATTCGCTGCAACAAGGACATAAGCTGTGGATTTAGAAAAGGGAACATGGCGCTCACCCGCTGATATCACTCTGGCATGAGTCAGGACGCCATACGAACAGTTCTTGTATCACCCAGCGAGCCTGACTTCAAGATTTCATGCCCATGAGATGACCTGGTTTCGACAAAGGTTTCTTGAGGATGGCCGTGATAACGAGCGGAAGATGGGGCATTGGATGAGGGGTCTCTGTTGTGCAATGTTTGCCTTTCGTAGGCGTCCGGCCCTCAGCTCGTCCTTCCTTGTTCGATATCTCGAAGACTCACTTGGGTTATTGCCTCACCACCAACGCACGCCTTACCGACCCATTGAAGAATGCGAGGACCGACTTCCTTCCTTCTCTTTCTACCATGGTACTGTACGGAAAGAAGGACGCGACGGCACGCGTTCTAGCCTGTAGCTGGACGAGAGCTTGGCGCGTGTTTTCTTTAGCACGCTCTTATTACCCTTCCTCATAAATTTATCTTTGATCGGCCCGAACAGCTTTGAAGTTGCCTGACTGCAAGCTTCTGCTCATGGGTAGGAGCGAGCGGAGGAGCGTCAAGAAGGACGGCAGGCTGACATCCAACCGAAAACGATTCAGATTTGAGTTCATACGCAATGGTATGTGGCGTACGACCTAAGTACCAATTCACGCTCATATCCCGTAGTACAGGCAGTCAAGGCGCGAAATAACACCGGATTCATACGGGGTGCTTCGCTGGATGGAGGCTTCAAATACAAGTAGCACGCCCATCCTCGTGTCCAGCGCCCTGCAAGGCGAAGACTGAAGGCGAAGAGCGAATGACTTGACCTCTGTCACCTCGAATCGTATCCTTCCATCCGCTTGGGCAGGAGAGTTTTTTGAGGCGTGCAGGTCAGGAGGGCTTGACTTTCGAACACCGACATTTCTCGCCTGCCTGGGACGACATGATCATCCGGCGTGCTTTCCCCCGAGGCTCTCAATGACACCGTAGATGATAGTTCGGCCTTCAGCGTCCTGTTCGACATCCTTTTTCCGGTACTTCATTTTTGCTTCATGGCCAATACACCTAGACGTACGAGTGGGCACCCTCCGTCCCAGACGAATTTGGTGTTCGTTATCCGGAAGGACTATCGACGGATCGACTTCCTTCTTTTTTTTACCAGGACACCGTTCCTTTTGGAGATCGGGCGAATGAAAGTCGCCATCACGCCGTGTAATGTCGACGGCACAAATCTCAGCATGTGATGGAGGGGGGCACATTTCATCCTACGGTCCGGAAGAGAGCTCGGTATGCCGTATGTCCTTTTTTCATCCCGCTCGTTTTGCCCCTCCTTACAAAGACATCTTTGTTCAGCCCTCCAGACTCTACGACTTTTTCTGCCGACAGGAGCAGGAAGCAAGGAACAGTATTCGGATACCTATACGAGCCCGGCGTCATCGTTACCCTTGTGGTGTGTGACTTTGCTGTTTGCTTTCTCTCCTTTCTCACCAGCTTTCCCTCAGAGCCCTACTATGCAGCACAGTGCACTCTTTTCAGATCGCTCTTCCCCGATGCTCACGATACCGGGCCATTGAAGAATGCAGAACTATGCCAAGACCAACTTTCTTCCTTCCCATTTATACCACGGTGCCGCATAGGCGTATATAGAGAATTCATTCTATTCTACTTTTCTCGCTGGACGACTCGGGCGACGTGAATGGCGGTATGTGTTTTATTGAGCCCCTCATTTTGCCATTCCCCTCAAATCATATTTGTTCAGCCCTTCGAAAGGAGCTGGGGACAGATGTTTTGAGGGGTTGATGTATGCGACTCTACTTTGGCTCGAGTATTCCTCTGGCGGCCTTTGGAACAACTCGGGTGCTGGAGCTGGAGTTTGAAGATGGATGTAATGTACGACGCGCTGAGGGAAGAATTGGGGATATCACTGTTTGGTACGAGCTTACTCTGGTCTGATGGCATGGATGAGGTCTAATCGATAATCTGTCGTCAGTGCATGCAACGTTTCCTCTGGATATGTCTGCTGCGCTTTATTTTGCCGATTATGAAGTCGAGAGTAACCGATTATACATGCATGCGCCTGACGTAGACGGATAAGTACGTCTCTGGTTGTGGGCGAGAACTTGGTTCGACTCCGACGCCGGGATTTAGACACCTGTTTCTCATGTGTTTTGTCGAAGACCCTGGGGCCTGCCATCGGAAAGGCCTTCTCAAAGTCCGTTCACAGCCTGGGGAGAGGCTATAGATACTGGAAGAAAACTCAATTGACTATTTCGATCGGATGCGCTTCCCTTCCCTGTTGTGTTGGTTATACATACATATCAGCTAGGAGAATATGACACTTTATTATGTTCCTTAGTAGCATAGCGGTTATCTCGTGGGCTTATATGCTGTCTATCATCTTTTTGTGCCGCGGTATGCTTCCTGGACTCGAATTTCGCGCGGTGCAGGAAGAAGCGCGGCAGGCCGTGTCATTTTTTAAACTCTTGCTGGGTTCGAGTCCCGATGAGGGAATTGGGAAGAATTGACATGGTTTTATATTGCGATTGTCATTATTACTGGGAGGGTATATATAAGGTGTTCTGGGACTTGGTGTTATTTTGCGTGACACTCGATCGCGAATTCAGTACGTTCGGGTGTAGACTGTGGTTGTCCCCTGGTAGTCTAGTGGTGTCATGTTAATGCTGGGTTCGAGTCCCGACCAGAAATTTCCATCGGTAGCGTAAAATTTTTGACTGGGAATTGTTCCACTGCGCCATGAGTTTTGGACTGAGGTGCATAGATGTGTAGATGTGTAACGTATGCGGGCTTAATGTTGTTAGATTCATTCTACTGCGGAAAACGTCAACATTGAATAAAAAGTCGGGATATTCGTGAAGTTGTATGTGTTAATTTTTAATATCTCCGCACTTGCGGGGAGGAATTGAGTAAAAGATTCCGGTTTCGTTCTGCGATATTCATTATGCTTAAAGCCATAGTTTGACTCACGGCATCACGCGTAAGCTTTGAGGTTCGAGTCCTGGGCCTGATCAGATTTAATGCACTAGGTAGGATTATATATGAGCTCGACCGTGTTTTGTTTACACGACATGGAGAGGCACTTTGTTGAAGTGTAGCTATGCGTATACAAAGGGGAAGTCAAAAGCGTAGGATCGTACGGCGTCCAATAAGATCGCGGCGATGACAGCCACACGTGTTGGTACACCTAAAATGCAGTCGGGAGCGGGTACGATATGAAAGGTATGTGTAGGCTTGTTCAGCTGCTATCATTCGAATCAGCACTAAAATAAACAAGGTCAGTTTTAGCAGGGACAGAAGAACGATGTCACTCACTATGCCCCAGCACTAAATACACGGTCCCTCTATTAGTGCATGCGCACACCCCATTAGAAGGAACACCCGTCTTCAAATTTCAAAGTGGAAGGCTTCCCATGGGGTGCAGTTTCCATAAGTTTCGCTCGCTGTATTGGAAGTTTGGAGATGGTTCTGAGAAGTGGACATCATTGCGACAAGGATATGAGAAGTAGATTTAGAAAAAAGAACATAGCGCTCACCTGCGGATATCACACTGGGTCAGGGCTGCATGTAGTAGGTAGTTCTTGTCTTCCGACGTCAACCCGTCTTAGATGGATGATAGAGCCCGATGAAGGTTTTGGAGAATCGCGGACTTCACAGGCGAGGATGGCCATTGGCATGATGGCGGGAGGAAAATGGAACCGACGACGCGTCAGTCTGCGTCAGTGTTGTGCTGGATCACGTGGTGCGTGCGACTGCCGTTTATAACTTTTCCGATAAGCGCACCACGAGGATTTCAACTGCCATCTCGCTGGCAGCGCACTGCACTTTGAGCTCGTCCCTCCATTTCGACGTCTCATTTCTTGCATTCAATCTTTTTGCTTTACAACCAGAGAACGTCTCACCCAGTTATGAGCTACGCAAGGATCGACTTCTTTCCTCCCGTTTCCACCACGGTACTACGCTTGCGCATATGGAGAATCTATTCCGAGTCACTTTTCTCGCCAGCGATAAGCTCAGACCGGAAAGAACGACGCCATCAATTTGTGGGCTGGATGAGCTCGGCTCGGTGCGTTTTCTTCAACCCGCTCTTATTGCCTTCCTCATGACATCACCCTGGATCAGTCCTTCCAACTCTGAAGCCGGACGGCAGCCAACGACGGAAGAGCACTGAGAGATGACATCCAAGCAAAGATGATTCGTATGGCATGGACGACACGCTACGAATATTCATGCTCAAGCGCTCATGCATCATGCATGACGCTTCATCGACAACCCACGAACTAAAACAGAGCTCGATATACCGTATGTGTTTTTTCATCCCCCTCGTTTTGCACCTCTTTACAAAGACATCTTTGTTCAGCCTTCCAGACTCTACGACTTTTTCTGCCGAAAGGAGCAGGAAGCAAGGAACAGTATTCGGATTCCTATACAAGCCCGGTACCATGATTACCCTCTGAGCTTTGTGGTGCGTGACTTTGCCGTTGCTTTCTCTCCTTTTTTCTCACTAGCTTTCCCTCAGAGCCCCACAAAGCTATGCAGCACAGTGTGCTCTTTCAGCTCGCTCTTCCCCGTTGCTCAGGACCAACGAGTGTCTTATTGGGCCATTGAAGAATGGGGAACGAGGACCGATTTTCTTCTTTCTACGGCACCGCGCTTGCGCATATAGAGAATTAATTTCAAGTCACCTTTCTCGCTAGCGATATGCTCAGACCAGATGTCATTTTCTTCTGCTGGTGCACGTTTCAACCTGTGGGGTAGATAGAGCTTGGTATGTTCTCTTTGGCTTGGTCTTATTGCACTTCCTTATAAAATCACCTTTGATCAGCCACTCCAATTTTGAAACCGCCTGATGGCCAAGAGGGAGGAAGCGGAAGAACGGGGAGAAAGAGGAACGGGTATTTGAAGAAGTCGACTCAGCGGTGGCATTCCAACATTTCCTACCGAATGATGCCTGCTCTCCGGAGCTACCTGGAAGTCCTCGATTCAGGGAGGTATCAGGCAGCGATTCGGGCGTTGACGATATACTGCTGTATGCGACGAATGACCCGGATACTGCGATTCATTCTCGTGATGTTGTTCTCTCGTAGCGCATGGCGCACCCCTAGTCTCAGTCAAAGCATGAGCATGAGATGTCACCAGCTAGACGGCTTCTTCAAGTGTAAGTACGCCGTCCATCCTGGAGACAGTGACGTGTTCGGACCTAAAGTTTGTTTGCAGGACAACCTCATATCCACCCTTGTATGCGTTGCCCATAGATGGATCCTCCCGGTCAATTGTCATATAAATGCGTATTCTTTATTGATTGTGTTCAGAGTCCAGCCACGTCACGCTGTCCTCAGATTGGTCCCGGTGCAAACATTTGTTGCGGGCA